GTCCCCTTCACCTGATGAAGGCCGCTTGTGTTGTGGCCGAAACGTCGTGAGAATATTATTGTGTTATTTTATTTTATCAATTTATTATTTTATTCTCATTCTACGTGACTTTACCGAAAGAACCAAAGAAGACGAATCCTTGCAGTCACGAAAGCTTTAAATCGAAACGTAAGGATTTCGCGACCAATATCTATAATATAGGTTTTTTTTGTTTGAGTTAGATCGCGTAAATATAGATGCGTCGTTAAACCCGCCACCACCCGAGACAGCCAATTAGCTAGTTGTAATTACTGGCGAAACGTCGTACTCAGATTGTAAATGTTATGGATTTGCCCTCCAACACACCGGTGTGCTGAACTAGTAACGAATTGGAGTGTCCTGTTTACATGACAAGCCTTATTAATTGGCTGTGTCGGGTGGTGGCGGTTTTAACGACGCATTTATATTTACACAATCTAACAAAAAAAAACTATATTACTCTATGGTAGTTAATTCATTGCAATACGTCGCATATCTGACCATCTATATCCACCCTGATAAATTAACTGGCCACACCCAGTGAGCAGGCTGAAATCCAAGCTTAACTTGAGCCAGTTCTGAGCACAATCCCAGCCATGTTAAAACATTTCCATGAGCTGAGCCTGAGCAAAGCCATGATCGAGCCACTTCAAAAGTGTTCAAGAGCAACTGAGTGACTCAAACCTGATTACATTCCTCAGACGAAGTAGTATTGTTACTGAGTGAACCAATGCTCCAATAAGGTGTGGTATATTTCGATTGAAAGCTTTCGTGACTACAGGGATTCATCTTCTTGGTTCTTTCGGTAAAGTCACGTCGAAGGGAAATAACAAAATGATAAAAATACAACATAATTAAATAATTTCTCACGACGTTTCGGCCACAACGCAAGCTGCCGTCCTCAGGCGAAGAAACAGAGCTGTCGGAAAGACAGCTCTGTTTCTTCACCTGATAATTTTATTTTATTATGTTTTATTTTAATTATTTCCCTTCTACGTGACTTTACCGAAAGAACCAAGAAGAAGGTGTGGTGTACTTAATGTCAACTTCTGTAGACTGCATTATTTGTATGCCTTGCAGAGACATTGATGTCTGCCGCTCACACCGTTGGTAAGGGATGATCGATGGAATATAAAAAATAATGTCACCACTTCACACAGGTACAGATCGAAAACATTTATTTGGCACACTGCACAGAGGGGTGCACAATACACCGCCATAAATAGATGGGTATAGAAGAGGCCTTGCAAAAAAATAAACGGCTAATCATATGGACACTTATGGTGGGACCCCGAGGTCCCATAAGCCCCCGGCTCTCGCATAAACTGCGTTGCGACGTCATTTTATGCCTGTTGAAGGCGAACGACACGGCAATCTATTCCTCTCGACGAGCTCTACACGATGCGCTGATCAAAGTTTCAAAGTTTTGTTGACTACGGCAATTTTGGCAACGACGGGTGCTTGGTGAAGAACGAGGAGAGGATTGATTTCTGGTGGGTCGCGGTGGGAAGGAGTCGCCAAAAATAAAGAAATGAATTATGATTTTGACTTCCGTTTATTCGAGACCCCGGGGTCCCGCTATAAAGTTCATATACAGATCACTGACACAGTGGGCACTGGGAGCTGAATTCTGCGTGTATGCAGGATAATCCATTGATAGATAGCCGACAGATCCATACTGGGCCTCTTACTTCTCAGAATCAGAATCTTTAGACTGGAGGAATCCGATGAGCTATGAAACTCTTCTTCACAGATGTCCAGTATGGGTGGGTTATCAAGCTGATGAAATATTGTAAAAACCGACAGCTCCGTCTCTTACAGAGTAAGAAAGTTAAGCAATGCAATACGTGCACTTGGGATTGGTGGATGGATTCGAATTAAAGTGTTGACTTTCTCCATTATATCTCGCAAGGCCATTTCAGATTCGGCCTGTTGAGATTGCTCTTGGGTTATTTGCTGAATCTGATGCCCCGAATGTAAGACACCCTGGAATGAATACAGCACTCGTCTGCAGCGGTAAGGCGGGGCATGTTGTTTCACTGTCCACAGCAATAGTGTACGTCGAACACGATACATTTATTGTAACTTTAATGTCTGGATTACCGTATAAAAACTTTATTTATACAACCTACACTCATGAACCTTAACAATGTAATAAGACGTCACCTACACCCTTCAGAACAGCCAATCGCAATGAGTAGACCGTCCTTGACGAACTGAAAACACTGGGCAAATAAAGGCAATTAATGCCCCTTCAACTTTACTAATCCAGTCATTACTTGTCGCGTAACCCGTGCGTGTATTATAATAGTACGCTGGCAGATCTGTAAAAAAAACTGGGTAACATAACAAATATATACACAAAGTAGACCGCACTCCTAAATCATCGGTGGCCCGCGCAGCAGCTTTGCAACATGGGTGGTCGCCGGGATTGCCCCCTCCACGAAAGAGCAAGACGTGGCAAGGGGCCACTTCGTGGGTTCTGCCAGGCTGGGGTGGGTGGGTGAGCGAGAGGGAGTGGGAGCTCCCACTCCGTTGTGAAAGTGAGAGAAGAGCAGAGCCGAAGAGACGATTCACTGGACGAGGCCACACGGCGAGCACGCGAATATTATTTTTCAGTATATTTTTGCACAGCGGGGCGAGACAAACAACAAGGAAACAGTAACGCAATTACCTATTTATATACCTACCCCCAGGTGAAGGGGTTAACAGTCACACCTGTTGTAGGTTATCTGTCTGTGTGATGGCCTTGCTGTGTACAAGACTCATTGTGGCAGGGTTTACTGAAGTATGATTTTTCTCTCTCTCCGGATTTTGACAACACAAGTGTAATGCTGCCTAGGGAGACTGTGGTCTTTACACTGTCTCAGAGAAATAAATACTAACCTAAGCAAGTTAGCACTCGACACATCATTAACTTTTCAAGTTAAACTCGGTTTCATTCTTCTATTTTTACACGTATATATTTCATTTTGTTTGTTTATAAACTATGAATTCCAAAAGATTACTCCTTACCGTTCGCATTGCACTCTATCGTTAGCGCTGGCGGGAATTAAATGTTTATTATTTCGAAAATAGTGGTTAATAAAAAAAATACTAAATGTTCTCAAGCATCTGAGATTAGACTGTTATTGGCTTTAGGACTATTGATGCGGTTCAAACGCTGATGATAATGACAATGATGAGTTCTAGTCGTGTAACAATGCATTGATTCATACATTAAATATAGATGCAAAAGCACCACGATACATACATCGAACGGTGTAGTTTTTCGATCCGTATGTTTTACGTCGTGGATTATCGTGAACATTCCAGCCAGGTAGAGGCTGCAACGTTCACAATGGAAAGCACAATCAGTTCCGGAATCGTGACGCTAAATTGTGCCAATTCATTTGATCTCGAGGGAGGAGAATTATTCAGATCCCGAGTTACCACAAAATTGTGTGGCAAAACGACTTGGTTCGTGATATCAAGTCAAGGCTCTAGACGTTTTGGAAGAACAATAACATTTAAAACATCCAGTTTATTGAAGACAGAAATGATGCAATACCAAAAAAAATCCCGATACAACTGCAAAACCACCCTTTTCAGTTCACGTTCCAAGTTTAGGAAGCGAAGAACAGGCTCTTGACAAAATATATTTTTAGAGTTTTTTATCCTGTCGGTTTTACAACTTAGAGAAAAAACACATGGTATGAATCAATACCCATGACTAGGGTTGCCATCTGCCCTGGTTTTGTCGCAAAATCTTCCTCGACTTGAGGTAGCCGTCCTGGGATATCTGTAAGTCTTCCCAGGACATTAAAAGTCCTTTTTTTGTAATTTGTGAAACAACGCACCAAACAAGAGGATTCGTGTACGTGGAGCATTCCCTCCTCCGATACTGTGAGATATTCGTCTTTTTCCTGTGTACCTCAAAGGTGGCAACCCCATTGCATCCATGACCCCTTTATAACGTTCCTGAAATGAGGTATGAAATTGAATTTTCCATTGCCTAGTGAGGAATCGTGTTGGAGTGAGACTGAAACTGCGATTGGCATTCAAGAGTGCCTCAGGCAAGAGGTCACTACAAATTAAAAAGTGTTGTTCTCAGGACCATGGCTTGTTGCATTGTTTTACATGCTGTCAGATTTATTAACAAAATGACAATAAATACATTTTTATAAAAACCCACCCAGTGTTATTCTTGTCAGAATGCTGTCTGTGAAGCACAAGTTACTGAGACTGTGGAAACAGCAATTACATCGTAACAAGTTGGCAGACTTAAAAAAAACAATACAGTAAAAACCCCTGGCTTATCCAGACTAAAAGGGCCAGCCCTGCCCCGGGTATCTGAAAGGGCTGTCTAGCTGCAAATGCATTGCACATCTATGGAACAAAACATTAACAACCCTGTAAATCACACTTAATATCGCTAAAATTAATTTTAAAACTTGTTTTACATAAATTTAAAGTACTGTGCTGTACTTTGAGTGTGTGGTATGCTGCACTATACTGTATGCGGGGGAGTGATGTCGCAGTGGTTAGCGCGCTGTGCTATGAACCCGGCGCACCGGGTTCGATTCCCGCTGACGGCCACCACCAGTAACGATTATCTCAACTGGTCCTGGGCCTCCCCTACGCCGAATGAGTACCTGGTGCGGTGTGTAAAACATCGCCAATGAGGAGACAAAAGGTGGCCCGGCGTGGTGCTGGCCACATGCCCCCTTGTGTGCCGTGCCCACCTCATAGGTGCTCACGAACAGCACTTTCCCCAACAGTCCGATGACGGCTATACGGGGGATATTTAAAAAGCACTGAGTGTAGGCCTACACTGTGCCACGTGGTCAAAGCGATCCCAGAGGCTGTGGGGCAGCAGGTTTTTATTTTGTTGAGCCTCGTCTGGATAAATGTGAATTCTGGCTAGCCAGAATTGAACTGTATTAAAATATGATACCAGAGAAACACTTTTTATAGTTCCTTGAAGTGAAACCAACTTAGTCTATAATTAGCCACTTCAGATGGAACTCAAATTAAAAACAAATCCTGTGTACACATACATATATATTTTTACAGATTACAACAAAAAGTAACAATTCCTCAGCCCGACCCGTTCCAGCACAACACACGAACCGTGTCTGCGACGTTCTTGAGATTTGGCAAAGCCACGAGGAGAAAAGTGGCGTGGTCCCACCAAATCTCGAGGTGAATCCCATCCTCGGTCCACCCCCCACCACGATCTATTTGGCCATCTCGCCGATGAACTCAGTCCGTGCAGCGGCCCAGATCTGCGTCGGGCAAGAAGGCCGGGTTGAAGGAGGGCTGCGGGCCCCCCGTGGGAGCGACGGACCCCGCCGATGGCCGGGGCGGCGCGGGAGACGTCCCGGCGAGGCGGAGGGTGGAGGTGCCGAGGCAGGCGAGGTCGTGGCGGAGGGTGACGCGGCGCGAGCGGCGCGACCGACGCCACAGCGCCGCGACGATGAGGAAAAACAAGGTGGCCGCCGTGAGGAGCACGCTGAGGATCAGCACCTGCACGGAGGACGGGCTGCTCCGGCCTGCGAGTCGCACGCCGGGGGAAAAGCGCAAAGGACAATAGGATTGTGCCGCGTTAAATGCTCGAGGCCGTCAACCCATTCGGTTTACTCCGCTTTTTTGTACGGGAAATTTGAGTTTTCAGGTCCATGCGGTGTACAGTCGTTGCAATACGGGCAAAAAAAAAGTTTTTGTCTAATTGTGTTTCTCCCTTGTGATGGGACTTTGTAGGATGAACGTTGAGATTTATAAGGGCACGGGGTGACCAATTATGTCTGAAATGGTCTGTAGTAAGGGGTTGACAGGAGTCAGAGTGCCGAGCTGGCACCGCTGGGATCCTTGGGTTCACATCCAAGTTTAAGCCAACCGTGATTAAATTCGGATCTCGAGCGTAACGAGTTGATGGTCTCAGACCCGGTCACCAATGGCCGCACGTTAAAATTGCTGCAATAAATTCGGTTCCGCGCTTATATCTGGACGAATTCCAGCTCTGAAGATAAAACATCGTTTCTGACTGTCACGCGATAAAGCAAAGCCTACAGGAGGCATCTGCCGTGATTGCAGAATGGAAGACGTCATTCCAGCGCTACCGTCAAGCTGCCGCTGTGGGTCGGCTAAGGGAAGAAGACAGAGGGACCGAGAAAGAGAGACCGGCCGGCCGGCCGGCTGTGTCCCCTCTACCTGCGCCAGGGCGACCCGCAGTCTCGTGCTCCGAGCCCTTGCGCCGGATGGGCCCGTAAGAGACGGTGCGAGCCGAGGTGACCTCCCTCCGGACGCGGGCGGTGACGTCGTGAGGCTCCGTGCCTTCCTCGCCGTCGCCCGACACCACCAGCTCGCATGCCTGAGGGGGACCAGCGTGGGTTACGGTGCCCTTTCCGCACGGCAACACTCCCTCAGCGGCCTCTGCGTCGCCATTATCTCCCTCCAAAAGCCTCATTCCGACTTGCGTGTGTGCGTGGGCTCACGTGGTCGCCGGTGGGCTCACGTGGGCTCACGTGGTCGCCGGTGGGCTCACGTGGGTTCACGTGGTCGCCGGTGGGCTCACGTGGCCTCACGTGGCCTCACTTGGGCTCGGCCCTGAAGTTCTCACGGTGAACTAGAGATATGGTCTCCAATTATTGAACTTATTATGTATGTTCAACTTCTTTCGCACCGTATGTAGCCAACCGCGCTTATCGGAGGTGCGGGGCAAGGGCAACAAACTAAACACAAAAAGCAGTTCTAAAGAAATGACCCCGTAATGTATTCGTTTGCCCAGATCTCCTTTTAAAAAGGATAATTTTGTTTCGGTGAGTTTGGCGCATGACAGTCAAACTGATATTTGAATGCTCAGAGCTTGAAGGTATCCAATTTAATTGTGGAACCAAAGTTGATGCGATGGGGTTTTTACGTGTCGTCATTGGTGACTGGGCTGAAACTATCAACTCACGACACTCAAGAATCCAGTTTAATTAAGACCCTCAGCCATCCAACATAGCCAAAAACGCTCAATTGTCACGTGTTCAAGCGTTTGACGGGAAAATTATAGCCGTTTCAGCTCATCGATAAGTTGCAGGACAATTCTTCCGAGCAAATGCGGCAATACTGGAAGCACGGCGAGATACAATCGCAAAGTCGCGCCAAACTGATATCGCCGTAATGGTCACGCGGCGAAAAAAATCACATCGCGCCATGCCGCGCAACTGGCCGAAGGCGGCGCTCACCGGCACGCACTGCATGGCCGCATCGTGGCAGATCTGCACGGTGCAGTGCAGGTAAACGGCCAGGTAGGACGCGCCGACAAACTTGAACATCTGCAGGTGGAAGCGGGCGTCCGACGCCTCCCCATTGCGCACCACCGTGAGCGTGCTGTCCGCCAGCAGGGCCGGGCAGCTGCGGGCGGGAGCGGCAACGGGCGCACAGGAGGGTGGCGTTCGGAGCGCTGCCGTGTACCGACGGCCGGGGCGGGGAGAGCCTTTCCCTCACCGGAGGCCAGGTGGAACGTTCACGCACAGTGGCGGCGCTTAGGCGTAAGCAAGCCAAGAGAAAGCTTGGCTCAAGCAGCTCAAGGGTCCTCGGATTTATGAATAAATAAGGGTGCATCAAAGAGCAACTCAAATGCGTAGCACGTCAATTAACATAAAAAGCTCATTCATCTTTCTGATCTTTGTTTTTGCGAACGTATCTTTTCCTCTTCATTTCTCTCGTCTCACTCCATCCCTGTCTCGTCTATTATCTCTTCTCTCACCTCACGAGGAGTTTTATTAATTGAACGGGAGTGGTGGGGGGGGGGGGCAAAAATATCGGTCCGCAATGAGCTAGCACCACCACTGGGTCACGCATCAATACACTTCAATAATAATGCAAAAAAACAACTTGTGTGCTGACCGGCTCCTGAGAGGCCCGCCTGCAGTGACAAGGAGTCGACGTCGCACGTCACTGCACATTGTCCATTACCTGTCCTGGATGAAGATGTGCTGAATCGAGTGGTAGGGGTCACTGGAAGGGGTCGCCCAGCACCTCTGCACCCGCAGGATGAGGTGCGCCGGCAGCTGTAGAGGGCGGTACACAGTGATCGCGAGCGCTCTTTGGGGGCTGTGGCTGCTCATAGCGGCAGATGGGTTTATAAACGAGACATGTTGGTTTTTTTTTACTTTACCAGATAAGGCCCCACCGAGCTACGTAGCTCTTTTTCATAAGTGACTGCGGCCACAAATGATAGCTCAACGAAGTGGCCTATCACACGGAAATGTATTCTAAAATCATGTTTCTAAATGTGGAGAGGAAAACCGGAGGACCCGGAGAAAAATCTACACGACCACGGGGAGAGAGACACGCATACTCCAAATATACAGGCGTCAGGGTTGGGATCGAACCCACAACCTCCTGTATCCCAGGCGAGGTGGTTAATGGCTTGCCACCGCGCCTCCTCCGGTTAATGGAAACGTTCAGTTTATCGAAGAAGTCCACTGCCTCCAGACCTGCTTCTTGTGTCTCGGTGAGACACCACGAGTAACCAGAGACATTAAGATGACATCTGTTCGGGGTATGGGGTGGAGTGTTTCTCCCGGTTTCCTCCCACGTGTAAACAATCCTTAATTATACGTCGGATTGCAGAGCTTGGGCAACAGTTGGCACCAGCTCATCACGTGGCTGACGACTTTCCCACTTGTCTGAGTTTACTCGCACCTGTGAGTCATTCTATAATTACGAGAGCGAGCGAACAGTGTGGGGCGCGTTACAAGTTGGGGGGCGCCACGGTGGCTAGGAGATGTTAACTACCTCGCCTGGTATACAGGAGGTCGTGGGTTCGATCCCGACCCTGACGCCAGTATATTTGGAGTTTCCATGTTCTCCCCGTGGTCGCGTGGATTTTTCTCCATGTCCTCTTATTTCCCCCCCCCACATTTATAAGCACGCCTTTAGAGTGTTTGGCAGCTATAAATGTCCACATGATGATGAGCCACTTCGTTGAGCTATCATTTGTGGCCAGGCCGCCTCTGAAAAAGAGCCATATATAGCTCAGTGGGGCCTTACCTCGTAAAAATACAAAAAAAAAACGATCGCTCGTTAGAAATAACACATTCACTATTAATGAATAATCATGAATAATACGAATAACTAACAACCATTATTCGATTGACGACGACCTTGGTGACCGTGGCGATGGGATGGCGGCAGGTCATAATCACCATGTGGACGCGCACGTAGACGCTCTCCTCCAGGCTGAGCATGGGGATGCTGGTCCAGCGCTCCTCAAAGAGGCCGTCGCGGTACAGCTCCATGGAGATGGAGAAGTTGCCCTCCTCCGTGTCCAGCATCACGGGGCTGGGAGAGACGGGACGCGCGTGTCATTCCTCCATCGTGGTGACACGGACCTCGTGGGCGGGCGCGTTTGACGCTTGTCGTAGACGTTTACGGTTCAGGGCCGATGGCCACCCCGGTCAATGCCGTACTTGCGGGTGTATTCACCCTAAATGTATGTATGTATGTTGAGCTTCTTTGGCATTGCACGTAGCCGACCGTGCTCGTCAAAGGTGAGGGGGAAGGGCAACCAGACTAAACACAAAAAGCAGTTCTAGATAAAATAATTTTCATAGAAATAGGTTTTACCCTTTTAACTGGCACAAAAACTGACACCTTTATTCAAGGCATCATGTTTGCAATAACCACAACACAAGCAGTCAAAATGCAAACAAAAGAGACAACTCTGATAATAATATTGGCACTGTCCTTGAATTTGATTGGTCCACACCCGAGACGGCTTTTCTTAGAGCCTAGTCTCCACTGGTGTTGGACCAGAAGACGCCAAAAGGTGTACTTTGGCGTCAAAAAGGCGTACTTTGGCGTCTTCTGGTCCAACACCAGTGGAGACTAGGCTCTAAGAAAAGCCGTCTCGGGTGTGGACCAATCAAATTCAAGGACAGTGCATATAATTATCAGAGTTGTCTCTTTTGTTTGCATTTTGACTGCTTGTGTTGTGGTTATTGCAAACATGATGCCTTGAATAAAGGTGTCAGTTTTTGTGCCAGTTAAAAGGGTAAAACCCATTTCTATATCTTGTTACTGGCAAAGGAGGTCTCATAATGTAAAATAATTTCCAATGTAGATTTTAAAGTGTAAAGCTCCAGTGGCTTCCTAATGTCGGAGGGAAGAGCGTTCCAGACGGCCGCGGATGCGTGCGACGCGGTGACCGTTTTCGTTCGATGGCCAGCCACAAGTTTCAAGTTTCGTTTATTCGGTATATCCCTGTGAGCCACGCGGCTCTTGAGTCGGGTGCAACCGCAGCAAAACAAAAGCAGCTGTTGCGAGGATGACCGGAGTTTGCGTGATGGTTTATGCCCCTTGAGATCAGCAAGGTGCTGCCTGCATCACAGTGCATGTTAAAGATCGCGTGACGCTATTTGAAAGGGAGTGGGCCATGTGGTCCAATTTTTTTTATTTATTACAACGCCTAAACTCTGACATCAAATTAAGATAGACACCTATCTTGGCTACGTACGGTGCGAAAGAAGTTTCATATGCACACATATGTGTGTTTACGCCCCAAAAAGTATATTAATGCAGTGTATGTTGAACTTCTTTCGCACCGTACGTAGCCAACCGTGCAAATCGGAGGTGCGCGGGTAGGACGACAACATCGGAGGTGCACAGGTAAGACAACAACATCAGAGGTGCACAGGTAAGACAACAACATCGGAGGTGCACAGGTAAGAGAGGTACACAGGTAAGACAACAACATCGGAGGTGCGGGGGAAGGACAACAAAAGGCTACGCAAGTGATCTTTGTATTTGTGTGCGCGTGTGAGCGTGCGTGCGTGCGCGTGCTGCTCACCGCACGTCCACGTGCACCACGTTGCCCCCGTTGGCGTACTGCACGAGGTACGTGACCGGGTAGCGGCACGAGAAGGTGATGTTCACGTACGTTCGGCTCACCACGCCCGACACCTTGTTCTGGATTGTGTTCGTGAACACGATGTGCTTGCCGTCCGACGCCTGTGAGCTCCGTGTGCGCGCGTGCGTGTGTGCGTGTGCGTGCGTGTGTGCGTGTGTGGATGCGTATGTGTGTGTGTGCGTGTGTGTGTATGCGTGTGTGTGTGTGCGTGTGTGTGTGCGTGTGTGCGTATGCGTGTGTGCGCGCGCGTGTGTGCGTGCGTGTGTGCGTATGCGTGTGTGTGCGTGTGTGCGCGCGTGTGTGCGCGCGTGTGTGTGTATGCGTGTGTATGCGTGTGTGTGTGCGCGTGTGTGTGTGTATGCGTGTGTGTGTATGCGTGTGTGTGTATGTGTGTGTGTGCGCGTGTGTGTGTGTGTGAGTATGCGTGTGTGTGCGTGTGTGTGTATGCGTGTGTGTGCGCGTGTGTGTGTGCGCGAAAGGGGAGCGGTATTGTAGCGGTTAGTGCGCTGCGCTACAAACCCAGGGACCCGGGTTCGATTCCGGCTAACGGACCAACACCAGTGACGATTATCTGAACAGGTCCTGGGCCTCCCCTAGGTCAACTCAGCCTCAAATTAGTACCTGGTGTGGTGTGGAAACATCACCACTGGGGAGACAAAGGCGGCCGTGCGTGGTGTTGGCCACCCACCCCCTCGTGTGCCATAGGTGCTAGCTCACAGCACTTGCCCCAACAGTCTGTCCAGGCTATACCGGGTATCTTTGTCTTGTATTTTTGTTTGAACACAGACATTGAAATGCGTCAAACCTCAGGAATAACACCTCGGAGAATTCTCGCCGCACGGACGTGAATTGTTCAACGAGGATCATCGTGAAGAGCATCACAATCAATGTGTATAATCGGGAATGCAAAGGAAGTTTTCGTCATCGCGAGCAATACAATACGACCATCGACCCATGGACACGCACCACGATACAGGGAGAAGTCGGTGGCGCAGTGGGGTTAGAGAAAGAGTGGCAAGATGAGCCGAGGAACAGGAAGGGATGCTGGAATGGAAGTCTCCGAGATCAATCAATCTATCAAGTCTTTATTTCTATAGCGCTATTGTGTGCAAAAGGTGCAAATCAAAGTGCCGTCCAGGTAAAAGAAAAACATTTTCAAAAGACTAAATCGCAAGAACAATTAAATACATTTCCAGACATACCTAAATCGCATTATAATACATTTATAGCGAAGGCATATAAAAAAAATTATAATCTTAAGTAAAAGCAAATTTTAAAAGTAAGTTTTGAGATTTTACTTAAAATTGCTTAATGATTGTGAAGCCCTCCGACAATAAAGGAGGGCGCAGCTCATGATGAGCAGCAGGGAGAAAGGAGGAGCTCCGGGCAGGAAGGGGACGAGGGGGTGAAGGAATGACCGAGCCGAGATGTCAGGGATGAGTGGGTGATGACGATGATGAATGGGTGATGATGATGATGATGAGTGGGTGATGACGATGATGAATGGGTGATGACGATGATGAATGGGTGATGACGATGATGAGTGGGTGATGACGATGATGAGTGGGTGATGACGATGATGAGTGGGTGATGCTGATGATGAGTGGGTGATGATGAGTGGGTGATGACGATGATGAGTGGGTGATGACGATGATGAGTGGGTGATGACGATGATGAGTGGGTGATGATGAGTGGGTGATGACGATGATGAGTGGGTGATGCTGATGATGAGTGGGTGATGATGATGAGTGGGTGATGACGATGATGAGTGGGTGATGATGATGATGATGAGTGGGTGATGATGATGATGATAATGAGTGGGTGATGACAATGATGAGTGGGTGATGATGATGATGATGAGTGGATGATGACGATGATGAGTGGGTGATGACGATGATGAGTGGGTGATGACGATGATGAGTCGGTGATGATGATGATGAGTGGGTGATGATGATGAGTGGGTGATGACGATGAAAGGGGAGGGGAGAGAGGGAAAGACGAGGAAGGAGCGAGCAGAAGTGATGCAGTCATCCCAGCCCTCACAAACCGCGGCCTAAATCGATCGCACTCAGAGTGACGATCACCACCTCGAGTCATAATGATTTGTCAAATTTGTGGGAAGTAAGTTTTTACTTGCTCAATAGGTAGTGCACACGAGCACTGGACCCATAGGTTAACACAGGACACCCGGACTTAATTTAGACCTGCAATCCTCCAATCATGAGTTGTCAATAACACTGCCCCAAAATGAAAAAAAAAACTATATATACAACAGGAGACGTTTCGGCCAATGTCCCTTCTTCAATGCGCCTGCTGATTTTATTTTTTGTTGGTATTTGTGTTTGGGCACCGCTACCAACGTAGGATCACCAGATAATATGTGCAATGACGCGTCTTGCTCTCTAAACCACTGCGCCACTCAGCCAAGTATTGCATAGAACTCCTCCTATCTGCAACCCTATTACCCGTGGCTCCTATTATCCATAGGTTGCTGTAGAACGCGAGAAAACTCCAATCGTCCGCTGCCCTATTCTTCCAATTATCCGCGATCGTCCGCATTCCTTTTTGCCCTCGGATAAAGGGGAGTAAAATCGCGGGCGGCCACACAGATAAATGTGATGCGCCACATTTTGTCACCCACAATTGCTGGGCCTGGAGGTTTGTTCAATGCTGCGTGTGCGCTGACACAGGAGATGCATCGGTTTCAAGACATTCCAACGGGAGGGCACTCACGGTGATGGTTCCACAGTTGGAGTAGTTGGTCTTCACTTGGAAAACAAAAGCGTCTTCCGTCTCAGTGCCTCGGCACGAGCGGTCGTTGAGGTGCAGGTCGTAAATCTGGGGTGGGTGGCGGGGAGGAGGTGGAGAAAGAAGAAGAAGAGCGAAGGGGGAGGAATACATTTAAAAAAAAAAAAACACTGCCAGGGATTTTTGATTTAAAGCTTTCGTGACTGCAGTAATTCATATTCTTAGCTCTTTCGGTAAAGTCACGTTGAAGGGAAACGTCGTGAGATTTTTTATTGATTTATATATATTTTATTGTTTCCCTTCAACGTGACTTTACCGAAAGCGCTAAGAATATACTGCCAGGGATCTTGCGGGCAGTCACAGTGTTGCTGGCTCATTGTGCCAACGGGGGGGGGGGGGGGGGGGGGGTGTCGTCTCTCTTGCTGGGCAACGGTTTCTTCCTTGGCTGCCAGTGTTCGATTAAAACGTGCGCCGCTGCACGCACATCGCAATCTCTCCGAGAGATATAGCGGGAAATGTGGTTTTATTTGAAAAAAAAACACAGGAAAGGAAGGCCTTCGCGCAATCATATTGTAATGGGTTCTATTGGTGTCACGTGACGGGGCAAAACGACTTTCATTCATTTAGAACTCTGGCATGAAGCGATAAATCACCCATTGTTAAAGGGCGCCCTCTTAAGCGACCCGTCGCTAGACGGCATGATGACCAGTGGACCAGACTGGCGATGGAAGGGCAGCCAAAATGGGGGTGAACGCTCCCTAGAGAATGACCACGGCAAAGACGGGGCTGGCTCGTGTGCAGGATGGAGATGGATGGACCGCAAACGAAAGCGATGGCGTGGGCAGGCCTTCATCGAGCAGCGGTTGGACAATGGGCAGTGATAATGTAGTCCCGTCAATTGCCCCATGTCCACTCTAGACAGTGCGCCTATTCAAATGCCTTACTACGGGGGGATGTGTGTCACACGGCGAATCGAATGGAACATCTTCAGCGGTTAGAACTGGAGTGTGCCAACAGACAAAAATGTGCCCACTCTAGACAGTGCACCGATTCAAATGCCTTACTACGGGTGTGTGTGTGTGTGTGTCACACGGGTAAATCGAATTAAACATCTTCAGCGGTCAGAACTGGAGTGTGCCGGACACTTTTTGTTGCGAGCGACGGACCAAATGTAACGCGACAGCGTTTTGCCGTGCAGTCGCTTGTGACCGCACAACCGTGCCCGTTCACGCGCCGCACTCGAGGGGGCCCAGTGGAACCCAGCGGTTGCCGCCACTTATTCATAACGCGTTGGCACATTTTTGTTTTAATTATAACGTTTGAAGAAGAGTATCCATCCCATTATGTGCACGGCAAACCAGCCTGTCATATTTACAATCAACTGCACGTTCATGCCGAGATCGTGAACTCGGCACACTCGAGCACCTGGTTCGATTCATCAGAATATTTGTTTATACTGGAGGAATCCGATGGGCTATGAAGCTCGTTTTTCACAGATGTCCAGTAGGGGCAGGTAAGAACGCTGCAACACGGCTAAAAACCATGGATTCCAACCCATGATCTCAACAGTACTGGCTCCGCATCTGTGAAAAAGAGCTTTATAGCTCATCGCATTCCTCCAGTATAAATAAATGTTCTGGTTCAGTATCAGCCCCCTCTCATTGAGCCGCCCAGTCACCTCCGCAATGTTCCCTGTTAATGGCTCTTTTTATGCAACGAGTCTGTTTGTTCCAGGCATTGAAGCCCAGCATCTGAGACGCGTTGGGTAATGATGACATCAGCATAATCTCCTAGACCACCCAGCCACCAGAAGGCTTCCTTGAACGCAACAGGTCACGACCGCCCGTCAGGCTGATTGAGCGCAATATTCAGACGCTACTGGGAATGCCCCATTTACATTCAACGGCAAGGAATGTATGCGAGGGAGCTCTTCCACCAAAGTGTTTTCGATAAGAAAAAAAAAGTCACTAACAAACGGTTTTGTGTAAATGTTATTTTGTAACCAGCAATGATGCGAGTGTCATAGGCAGAGCTTCCCCTAGGTCGGGGGGGGGGGGGGGGCGGTGGTGCGGGTACTTGGGCCAAATGTTTCAAACGAAATCGACAGTATTACATCTGACACCGTGACGGAGAATCGCGGGTTGCCCCCCAAATCGCGGGGCCCGGGGCTAACGCCCCGATTCGCCGTACCCTGGGAACGGCTCTGGTCACAGGAACGAAACGCTCCAACCTCGTGTCTCATCACCTCATTGCACGATTTTGAAATGGGCGGGGGGCTTTGAAATTGTAAATGGAAGATGGAGTATAAGCCGCGCCAGGACAAATATGCCAAATGAGTCCAATTGTCAGATTTGAAGAATTTTTTTAGGTACACGTTCACCTTATTTACATACAACGACATGAATTTTTTTCTAATGACTCCTCATGATTTGAAATTAATCAAGCGGTACCATGGGACCTTTTTGGCACTATCAAAGTATGAAAATTAAGCATAGGATTTACCCTTTCTGGCAATAAACCAGGTGTTAAGATGTTCAAAAACCATTTAGATACCTTTTGCAAGGAATCAAGTCTTGAGAAGGCCGTCTCTGGTGTAGGCCAATCAGTTTCAAAGACGATGCAAAAACAATCAGAGCTAGCTTGTTTGCATGTTCAGCCCAAGTGCAGTGTGTTGTTAATGCAGGCTTGATTCCTTACAAAAATGCATCTATGTGGTGTTTGGCCATCTTAACACCTGTTTTATTTCCAGAAAGGGTAAAAAAACCCCTATTCTTATTTTTCATAGTCGAGCGGTCTTAGATAAGTTCTCTGAACAATCGTAACAAACAAACAAAACTACAAGCTTTATGCACATACAATACACATAGAGAGCATACAACCTCCAGGTGTTTCCCAAATTGCATTCGACGACTCTCTCCGCGATTACCAATGTACTCCCCATTAAACTATCAATTAGCTCGATTCCGCACTGCACGCGCCCGATAATCGTTAAACACGCCCCACGTGACTCGCTAAGCGACATCACGCTGCCAGCATTACGCAGGAACACGTGTGCGCGCGCGCGCACCGAGATCACTAAATGTTGTGGATTCACTCTTCAAACACACCGGTGGGCTGAAGAAGTAGCCAATTGGCGTTTTGTTAACGTGACACATTTGTTATTGATTGGCCGTGTCGGGTGGTGGAGGGTTGCGACGCATTTATAAAAAACGCGATCTAACCCAAAAAAATATTATTATGAATAATACTGGTCGCGAAAGCCTACGTGTTAAACTGATCTCAAACTTAATTTTAATTAGCGTTAATTGCTTAGCGTGTCACGTGGGACGTGTTTAACAATCATCGGGCGCGTGCAGCGTGGAACGAGCAATTTTTTTTTATATATATAATGGAGAGTAAATTAGTAAACGCGGTTCGACGCAGAGTGGTGTGTCACGTGTACAGAGGTTTTGGAAATTCTGCATCATGACCCATATCTTAAACGACAGGGTCCCTGGCCTGTAAACGTAAGGCAGTTAGTTCTCCAGCAGTCGATGAGACACACTGTGTCAATCGATCAATCGATCTTTAATGCATGCGCCAATATCGCCCTCGATGTCGAAAGCGGTGCACAGTTTATTTTGAAGGCCGTGAGCCGATGGGTTCTTATCAAAATGTAGTTTAATTTTTTTCTTACGCGAAGACAGATTTATGGACATACCAAGGAGGCTTATTTCCTATCTGGTTGGCTGTTTCTACTTTCTACAGCGACGTGAGTGCCCATCTTGTCCTCCGTTCGTACAGTGTGTTTATATATGTTGTTCATTGGCCAGTGATAGGCACAATTATTTTTATCACCAGCGTTACCAGAGCTTATGGACAATGTTGCTCATTTGCAATTGAGCTGTATGTGGACTGATGAAGGTTACTGCAACATACCTGTCAACCCCTTATCAGTGCCTACCTTATTAGACCAATTCAGACTTTATTGGTCACCCCGTGCCCCTTATAAATCTCAACGTTCATCCTACAAAGTCCCATCACAAGGGAGCAACACAAACATAGACACAAACAATGTATATTTTGCCCGTGTTGAAACGGCTGCACGCCGTATGAACCTGAAAACTCAATTTTCCCTCTACAAGAATACGGGTAAACTGTATGGGTTGACAGGTATGCTGCAAGATCACAATAACAACAACAATACGACTTAACAATGACTTACCTGCACGGGCGCATTCCGGTTGGTGAAATACGACCTTGGGATGGACACTTCCATGTAATCCTTGGTGCAAATAACCGTCTCGTTTATGTCTGAAGGTGGAGCACAGCAGACACACGCTCAAGACTACTACGAGCAACAAGACAACAAGGAAAAGGCCACCCACACCCCCGATTAGATGCAGAGATCGGTCGAGCAATGTTGCTGCTGTTGGCGAACTTCTGCTAGAGCCCAGCGTGACCAGCAATCAACACTCGAGAAGCGTCATCCACCCGACGTCGAGCCTCGTAATGACACTTGTTTAGGCTGAGTGAACCTAGAGGGGAGGTCAGGTCATGTTCGAATTAGCAATCCGCCACTGGCTTTGTGCGTCACTATCCAGCAATCAAAACCCAGAGTGTTAAGGTCTTAAGTGCCTTGCCAAAACCACAACTACAACCCCAGATGCAAACTCCAAAGAAACAACAGACGCCTTGTATACTAGGCGAGGTAGTTAACATCTCGCCACCGTGGCGCCCATGTTGATTGGCCTGTGAACACAGTTTAGAGTTTTAAAGGGCTGCAATATAGCGTAGTAAATGTGAGCCGTAAGCAGCTCAAATGAAACGACGGCGGAGCAATGAGACGTCAGTCTCGTTTGCGGTCCCGCAAAAAATTCAGGTCAATAATTATTATTTTTCAGTCCGCCCACTCGTGACCCCGACAGCGACGCGCCGCCCGCCCAGACTCGCACCAACAAGCGCCAGCAGCAGCAGCAGGCGGCGATCAACACGATGGGCGCCACCCCACCGGCCAAACGCGAGCCCCGGGGGGCGTCCGCCGCAGTCGCGTGCGGCGACGACGCCCTCCGGTCAGCCGTCGATCCTCAGCTTCTTTGCCAAGGCGAGCCCCGAGTAGCTCTCGACGAGGCCAATCGATTGACCACTAGTTTTGTTGTCGGTAAGGCAAGACTCGTGTCGCTACGCGGTTTTTCCCACCCCGGGGCAGTGATGGGACCCCGGGGTCCCGCCAATTGCTTCAATTGTTCACATGCAAATGCCAATCGTTCGCATCGCATTCAACTCACCCGAATAACGTTGTAACGGCAGTTCGCGTTTTGTGACAGCCAGAAACGGACACTACACGACACCGCAATTGGTGCTGGCACGAGGATTTGGTTGGGGTAGAAGTAATAGGAGCCATGCTCATCGATCACACGATATGTTATCTGCCTCGCCTGGTATACAGGAGGTTCACGGATTCGATCCCGACCCCTGGTGGCTGTATAATTGGAGTTTGCATGTTCTCTCCACGTGGTCGTGTGGATTTTTTTCCGGGTCCTCTGGGGTTTTCCTTCCACGTGATAAGCCACTTCGTTGAGCTATAATTTGTGGCCGGGTCGCCTCTGAAAAAGAGCTACATAGCTCAGTGGGCCTTACCTGGTAAAATAAAAATGAAAGTTTAGTTTAACAATTTAGTTTTACCTACTGGATATTCCCCCAGTATAAAAAATAATTCTGATTCTGAGCTACAGGTTCCCCTTCATTATCATCTCACCATCATCCACGATCTCGCCCCACCACCTCCTCACATCACACCTCACCCTGCTCCTACTCCCTTCCCCCTGTGCCCTCTGCTCCAGCAAACATGGCATGCTGTCAAAACCACACAGTCACCCGCTGCTCAACGGGAGGTCTCGCTTCTTCTCTGTAGATGCCCCCATTGTACGGAACTCCCCTCCACTGGCTGTCGGCGTGGCCGACTCCAACTCCTGTTCAAATCCAGGATTAAATCTTCCTTCTGCTCCGCTGCCGACGACGGATCACTGCGCTAAGTCTATTCAATTCAGCACAGGCCAGGCTCGGAAAAAAAAACCGCGTCTGCATCGTCGTTCGCCTGCTCCAGCGTCGTCTGCTAGAGGAGCCGAGCACAGCTGCTGCTGATGATGATTTAAGCATCAATACTGCCCGTGCGCGGGGGGGCTATGCCCCCCCCTCGCCGCACGTGATTTGTCATCGATCTATGTTGTTCTTATGGACTCGCACTCGTTTTGTGATTAACTCTTTCGAGTGACGTAAAAGAAAGTGTTCCCTTTTGGCCATAATCTCCGGATGTGCACGTGGTTCATTCCGTGTAATCGCTTGGGTGAATCCCGACTTGTGTGTGGAGGCTATGCAATATATTCAAAATGATATTGTCTCGCATGAGGTTGCATTCCGAGGTACAAACACAGAGGAGAAGTCGATTCCCCTGTTCCCCTGCATGGCACACTGAGAAATCGACTCGCTTCCCTGCGAGTGCCTAACACGGCACGATTGTGCGTTGTGTCGTTAAAGCCACCTGGAGTTGTGCATAATTTATTGTCCACCGACGCGGTCAGCTGTGAGCAATGAAGTAAGTATAAACAGTCAAAGGGGGGGGGGGGAGCGGTGGCGCAGTGGTTAGCGCACTGTGTTACGAACCCCGGCGACCAGAGCTAAATTGTCGGCCACGGCTACCGTCAGTGGCGAGCCATGTCTGAAACGGCCCTGGGAACACCCTTCACCAACCCGCACTAAAACCAGCGTGGTGAAGTATGGTCCAAGAACTCCCAACAGCGAAGCAGCATGGAGGGGGCATTCGTCCAGCAAGTGGACTGACGGGGGGGGGGGGGGGGGCTGCAGGGGCTTTGTTCCACTACGTAAAACACAAAACAGTGCTATGGTCCATCAACCTAGATGCCTTCTGTACCGATGCTTTCCAGCTGCTTGTGACCTGTGCCCACGCGCGAGTGGGCCATTTTTGTAACCAAAAATATTTTATCATGCAGGGGGACAACTCTGGACCAGTTTTCAATTCCTCTGAGCCTCCTCGGCGGCAGCAGCAGCAGCAGGGGGTGTGGGGGGTGTGTGTGTGTGGGGGGGTGTTGTCTGCCGTGGACGCTGCTGCCCTTACCGGCCGTGGCGAGGGAGTGCCACCCCAGCAGTGCCAGGGCCCACAGGAGCAGCGTGCGGTGGGGCGCGTGGTGGGGCATGGCGCCCTAGGGCTTCGCACGGACAGGGCGGGCGAGGGAGGGAGAGAGAGAGACAGAGAGATACAACAGGGGCAATGGTGAAGGAGTTGTTGCTCATGAGCGAGAACTAACTCCGTTTAAAGACCGAGACAGGAGGGACTTCTTCACAATTGTCGCTAATCGCCTGATGAAGCCGGCTGTAATCACCAGAGAAACGTCGTCAACGTTGTGGGTTTACTCTCCAACACACCGGTGTGCTGAAGTAGTGACTAACTGGCACGTTTTGTTTACGTGACAAGCCTTACTGATTGGCTGTGTCGGGTGGCGGCGAGTTTAACGACAATTTTATATTCACGTGATCAAACAACCCCCCAAAAACAACCTTTATTATCCATAATAATATTGGCCGACGCGGCAGAGGAAGTGCTGGCTGAACAGCACCACGCCCGGCCGCCTTTATTTCCCCAGTGGCGATGTTTTTAGACACCGCACCAGGTACTCATTTTGAGGCCGAGTCGACCTAGCAGAGACCCAGGACCGGTTCAAATAAATCGTCACTGGTGGTGGCCGTTAGCAGCAAGAACCGAACCCCGGGTAGCCGGGTTCGCAGCGCAGTGCAAAGGTGCTCGCGAACAGCACCTGCCCCAACAGTCTGATAGAGGCTACACGGGGGTATCTTTGCCTTTGCTTATGAGCACCACTTGGGCCGTTGCTGCGTGCACAAGTCACCGAGGACGCCTCGACAGATTCGACCTTCGTTAGCGTTGTGAATGTTTTGCTGGGACTGCCCTCTACTGCCCACTGCCACGCGACTCCCGCAGGAAGCCCTGTGGGAGACTCGATGGTCTGCCGTGGTGTCGCTCACTCGGCCAGGTAGCCCTGCTCAGCTCCTGATGGTCAGGTGGTTTGTTTGGTCACAGTGCAAATTGTTCATGTGACTTGCACTCAGTGTTTCTTCTTAACCTGGGGTTGCAACGCATACACCTGGGGGTGCGAGATGCCCTTTCTGGGGGTGCGAGACACGGCCAGATTTTTTTTTTAGAAGGTAAATCATCGAAAACACAAATTTAGCACGGGCACGTGAGTGCAACTTACTTTGTTTCATCAAACCTTACGTGTTTATTAACACGATACATTGTTTAACCATTGAGAAATAAAGAGGTGCAAGGCTGCAGTCAAGGTTAAGAACCGCTGAGTTAACTGGATGATGATCTTTGATTTAAAGCTTTCGTGACTACAGGGATTCATATTCTTGGTTCTTTCGGTAAAGTCACGTAGAAGGGAAATAATAAAAATAATAAAACAACCTGTGGTTTTCACACCTGATAATGATTGCTTGTGTTGCAATCGAAACATCGTGAGAATTGTATTGTTTTATTTTTATTTTTTCTCTTCTACGTGACTTTACCGAAAGAACCAAGAATATGGATGATGATTCATTGCTTGTTGTCTCAAGGTGATGCGGCAAGCCGGAGGCCGATTATAATTCTCGCAGTCGATGCAAAGTTATGCTTGCAACAGAATCTATCGTGCATTATATTTTGTACGTAGATTAGAACATCTCTCGCTTGACGTTCATGCCTATATTTTGATTATTTATACGTGTTTAGAACATCTCATTGCACTGCGGTAAACAATTTGCAGAAAGCGTGGCTCCTCGTTTGACTCTCCTGTTCTGTAAACATTCTTACTTTCTGTTTAACACGTAAGCTTTCGCAACCAATATTATCCATAATCTGGTTGTTTTTCGGTTAGATCGTGTAAATATAAATGTGTCGTTATACCCGCCACAGCCGTTTAGGAAGGGTTGTCACGTAAACAGAACATGCCAATTCGTTACTAGTACAGCACACACGGCTGTGTTGGAGAGTAAAGCCACAACATTTACATGTTTTCTACATACGTAACTTTACCGAAATAACTAAAGAGTATAAACATTTACAAAATTGTACTGACTCGTAACGAATTGGCGTGTTTTGTTTACGTGACAAACCTTACCAATTGGCTGTGGCGGGTATAACGACACATTTATATTTACGCGATCAAACCCAAACAAATTTCTATTATGGATTCTTACTTTCTTCGTGCAGTCTTAGTCCAGCTTTGTAAATGTTTTTTTTTTATAATATAGATATATACTTTAGATCTCGGTTTGTGAGCGCCTGCATGACTGCATTGATTTCCTACTGAGTCAAAAGCCTTTTCATAGTCTACAAAGGCGCGGTATAATAGTATTTAATATTCATTATTCTTTTATATAATGTGATTGATAGTACGTGGTATATGGCATTAAAAAAACTATATATTGCCGAAACCCAGCTTGCTCGCGTTATTCCTCTATGAATTATTTGTGGTAATAATGTATATATGTAATCTTAGATAAGAGGCGAATGGCTTTGGAATGTCACGTAAATTTTAGTTTTTTAAAAGCCATTTTTGATAAGGAGAGATGATCGAGGCGTTTCATGCCATTATAAAACATTTATAGTCAAAAGCTCCGCTCATTTCGTCGCAACAACTGGTCGAGAAACTATGTCGAGCAAGTTTGCTGAATACATAAAAAAAACATATCCGTTGCTAGAGGGACACACATGGAAAATATTGCTCATTACGTTGACCGCGACCAAATTCTTGAACGCGAATCAAAACCACAACGAGGTGGAAAAAAACAAATCGGCAGATAAAAGCAGGTTGGGAGCGCTTTTTCAAAACTAAACTTGAAAAAAAAAACAATTAGCCTCAACAGGGACGTTTTTTTTAAATCGTTACGTGTTACAAAGCGAAGCGTCGATCAGAAGCGAGGACATTGCCGGCGAGAATGGAACGCCAGACGACGACAAAGGGGTGGCAGGGAGGAGCGTGAGTCGTTGCCTGCGTGGGGGATGAGACCGTGGGTCAACGAGGAAGGCACGAGTTCGAGTGATCACGTCTGAGTGATCAAGTTTGAGTGATCAAGTTCGAATGATCAGCGATCACGTTCGAGTGATCATGTTTGAGTGATCACGGTAGAGTGATCACGTCTGAGTGATCACGTTTGAGTGATCACGCTCGAGTGATCACGTTTGAGCGATCACGCTCGAGTGATCACGTTTGAGCGATCACGCTCGAGTGATCACGTTTGAGCGATCACGCTCGAGTGATCACGTTTGAGCGATCACGCTCGAGTGATCACGTTTGAGTGATCACGCTCGAGTGATCACGTTTGAGTGATCACGCTCGAGTGATCACGTTTGAGTGATCACGCTCGAGTGATCACGTTTGAGTGATCACGCTCGAGTGATCACGTTTGAGTGATCACGCTCGAATGATCACGTTTGAGTGATCACGCTCGAGAGATCACGTTTGAGTGATCACGCTCGAGTGATCACGTTTGAGTGATCACGCTCGAGTGATCACGTTTGAGTGATCACGTTCGAGTGATCACGTTCGAGTGATCACGTTTGAGCGATCACGCTCGAGTGATCACGTTTGAGCGATCACGCTCGAGTGATCACGTTTGAGCGATCACGTTTGAGCGATCACGCTCGAGTGATCACGTTCGAGTGATCACGTTTGAGTGATCACATTTAAGTGATCACGTTTGAGTGCGCGGAAGAGTTAACTCGGAGTCGGGATCGTTGATTTAGACTGCAGGAGGGGGAATCCGATGACCTGTGAAGATCTCTTTCAGAGATGTTCAGTGTGGGGTGGGCGCGGGCTCAGCGAAGTTACAGCAAACAAACAAACAACAACAACATAGAGGAAAAGGTGGGACAGTCATTAAATATAAATACATCATTAATTATATGAGTCCGATTTACCAAACTTGGGCAAGGCAGCAAAAACAACAACAACAGTCCCAGATCACAGCAAGATAACGCCACACAGCAGTACTCCCTCAACGCAACGGCACACTAACAGTGGACTATCGACCCACAGCAGCTGAGGATCATAATGCTAAATCGCATTTGCAAATGCGGCCGTCGGTAATCCAGCGCCAGTCTTCTGCTTCAGGATCTTTTTCTTTGCGTGTTTGTTTTTTTGGCAGGAAAGATTAGCGCGAGGTTATGCGGTGCGGAGGACAACGTGACGACGAGGGATGAGTTTCGGCTGGTCGAAGGCTCGTGATGTGGGAGTGGTAGCAAAAGTAAGAGAAACGATGTCCTCGGAGGACAATGTCACGTGTCGCATCACAAGGCTGCTGCTGCTGCTTCGAGAAACGACTGAAAATTATTGATAAATGTACGCTTATGATACAAATAGCAGGGAGTGGAGTATTTTTTTCTGCTTTGTCAAAGAGGTTTACTGCTCAAAATAGCATCGAGGCAATGATCGTCTCCCGTTGACGGCCCTGAACCAGGGGTGGAAAGTCCACAGTCCGATGGCGGGAGTAAGTTTAACCGTGACAACCATTGTTAATCTCATCATCATTAGACCTCCTTTGCCAGTAGCAAAATATAAGAATAGGGGTTTTTCCCCTTTTTCTGGCAACAAAACTGTTAACTTCCCGACGAAGCGGTTCTCGTTGCATCGACCCCGATAGGATGACGGGCTGAGTTAAACCCCCCAGCCAGGATTTGAACTCACAGCTTTTGCAATTAGCGTGTCGCTCGCTCGACCATCTGGCCAGATTGGTTTAAAGCGAATACGATGACAGCGAAGTAAACACTGAAGAACTAGTAGGAGAATAAAGACACCGCAATGCTAAAACACATGAAAGTACTGTACAGGTGGATGCATCTCACTGGGTTGTGGTACTTTAGAAAGCACGCGACACACGTGCCAATAACACTGTGGCCTTTAAAGGGAAAATATAGATATAGTCGGTAACGTTTTTTAGCAATGGTCCTTTTTCAAAGCAATTTTTTTTTCTCAGAGCAACGTATTTTCTTCACGCCATTGTGAAATGCAACTTTGCCCGAGCGAACGCGATATATATAGAAAAAAATTATACGTATTAATGATACTTTTTTTGTTACGTGCTACATAATAAGCCGGGCTATTGCCCAACACGTCACCCAGTGTGCAATCTCCCTTCTGAAGGCCACGCCGTGGGTCTTGGTGACAACATCAGCGGCGTTAGACCGCGTACATCATACATACATACGTGTGTGTCGTTAGACCCCGCCACCACCCGACACAGCCAATTAGTGAGGATTGGCACGTATAAAGAACGTGCCAGTTCGTTACGAGTACAGCACAGCGGTTGTGTGTTGGAGAGCCAAGCCACAACATTTACTATCTGAGTATGAGTACTCAGATTGTAAAGAGCCAAGCCACAACATATACGATCTGAGTACTCAGGTTGTAAAGAGCCAAGCCACAATATTTACGATCTGAGTTGTGGCTTGGCTCTCCAGCACACAACCAGCGCGGCGTACTCGTAACGAACTGGCACGTTCTGTTTACGTGACAAACCTTACTAATTGGCTGTGTCGGGTGGTGGCGGGTTTAACGACACACGCGTATATATGTACGCGATCTAACCCTAAAACAAAATCCCTGTATTATGGATGATATTGGCCGCGAAAGCCGACCACGTGTTAAACGACGACCACGTTTGCCCTTTGTGACGTTGCAACTCGGGAAGCAAGTGGCCCACGTGTCACGTCTGGCTGGCAGGTGAATCCGGTCTTGCCGATCACGTCCAGCGGGGCTCTCTCTCCCCTCTCTCTCTCTCTCGCCTCACCTCAAGCTTCGCCTCACGCCTCACCTCTTCCACGCTTCGCGGAACAGTTGAGCCGCCTGGTGTCGTCGAGGCACCGCTCGATGCGACTTCTGTGCGCGAGGAGGAGGAGGAGGAGCGCGCCCCGGTCGTGGTGGATGCGCGATCGGGGCGTCTCTGCCTCTCGAGTGCGTCCGTGCCACGGGCGCGCGAGAAGGTTCAGCGGACGGACACCGCCCTGGAGAAGCTCTTGGGCCGCTTGGGGGTGGAGGTGGTGGTGGTGGTGGTGAAGGGGGCGGCGGCGGTGGTGGTTGTGGGGAGGGGGGGGCACCGCACAGTTAAATAGGAGGATGTGATGATGATGATGGTGGTGGTGGGGGTGGTGGTGGGGGTGCGATGGATGGGGAAGGGAGCAGGGTGGACAGAGGCCATTGCGGGGGTGGGTGGGGTGGTGGGGGAGACGGTAAATCTCAGGGCTAGTTGTCTTTAAGAGCCGACCGGGCAGTATGACGCACAGGGATGGGGAGGGAGGGGGGGGCCTGGCCTCTCTGATAAACGTGCGCACGCTTCAGAGGGCGTCAGAAACTTGAATTTAGTTTTGCCTTTTTAATTGCGCAAATGTCATCGCCGGCGGTGGAGACGATTCCGAGAAATGGAAGCGGTTTGTTTTACGCTTGAGTCGAAATTGTACGGCGAAAAATAACCCCAGAAATGTGCCTTGCGCTGTGGCGAGGATGGGGCAGGATCCAAACATCGCGAGGTATCAGGAGATCCAATCAAGGGGACAAAGGCAGGACTGAGGTGGTTGAATTAATCACTTCGTCTCCAACAGTTCTAGCACCAACTAGCGGGAAGTAGCCGGCGTTGCCCGGGCGAAAAAGACACACACACACATCGACTTACACACAGACATCGACCCACAAACACATCGACTTACACACACATATGGACTTAAACACACACATAGACTCACACACACATCGACTCACAAAGATAAAGATCCCCCATATAGCCTTAACAGACTGTAGGGGCAAGTGCTGTTAGCGAGCACCTATGAAGGCCGGAACGGTACACGAGGGGGTGGGTGGCCAGCACCACGCCCGACCGCCTTTGTCGCCCCAGTGGCAATGTTTTTATCCACCGCACTAGGTACTCATTTGAGGCTGAGTCGACCTAGGGGAGGCCCAGGACCGGTTCAGATAATCGTCACTGATGTTGGGCGTGAGCGGGAATCGAACCCAGGTCGCCAGGTTCATAGCGCAGCGCGATAACCGCTACACTATCACTCCCCACCACATCGACTCACACACGCACATAGAGCCACATACACACATATCGACTTACATATCCAATAATCTCCAAGTTCAGCTGTACGTGCACCGCGATGCAAATAAACCTCGCGGACTTAACCAGGGACACACACACACACGTGCCGATTAATGTAACGACACATGATGGCAAGAAGTAGCTACAAACTAAACTTACGAACGCAGGCATCAAATTGTCCTTGGCTCCGGGCTGAACCGGGTTTCTGCGGTGGCAATGTTGAAGACGCGAATGTACGCCTTGAAACTTCTTTAGCGCCGTACGTAGCCAACCGTGCTGTAGATCATCAACGCCACTGACTCTAAACGACGCCCGAGAAGCCAGTGACCTCCGACGGCGCTTGTCGAACGCTTTGTTGGACAAAGCGTATCAGGAGAGGGTTGAAAGAGTTCATAAGTGGAGTGACATTGGTTGGGTTACGTGTAGAGGCTTTCAATAAAAATGCACTTTTCTCTACGGTTACTCCCCGTTACGCATGTCGTGTATGTTGAACTTCTTTCGCACCGTACGTGGCCAACCGTGCTAACCGGAGGTGCGGTGGGAAGGACGACAAACTAAACACAAAAAGCACTTCTAAATAAACGAGTTGTCGATCTAGATGATTATTTAAAAGTACAAAGCTCCAGCGGCTTTCCTGATATCGGAAGCAAGAGCGTTCCAGACGGCCGCAGAAGCGCATCTGAGAGCGCGGCGCGATGCGGTGACCGCCGCCTTTCGTCCGATGGGCAGCGAAAATCCGCAGCTGTCGCCGCCGCTGCTGCTGCTGCTGCTGCTTCTTCAAGGATGAGCGGGGGGAGTTGAGGCGCCTCCAGCAGGTGTGGGAACGAGACGGAGTTTGTTCGCGCGTCAGCGCCGGCTCCGCTTGCTTTGTGCTCTGAACGCGTGCGCCGGGTGAAGAGTCGGTGGGCAGTGGGAGAGAGGCGGGGGGCCCTCTGGGCAGTGTGGGCGGCTAGGGGAGGTCGACTTTCTACCGTCTGTTGCACTGGGCAGCCAGACGGGCACTGCGCTACCCCCCAGCGTAGGCGCACGTCTTGCCGGATAATTATAAATGTTTTGTTCCTGGGTAGTAAGTGTTATTTTCTAATTGCCTAGGCCTCAAAAGTGCAGACAATGGATAGTATTCCCCACAAGCTTTGCTTTTGTGACCAGGACTTTACGTGAAGGAATGACACAAATGCACACCACGTTTTCTCATTTTGTGACCAGGACTTTACGTGAAGGAATGACACAAATGCACACCACGTTTTCTCATTGAAAATAGGTAAATTTCAAAATATCACTGTCCTGGTCACAAAAGCAAAGTTTGTGTGAATTAATAGCCATTTTTCTGCACTTTTGAGACATAAGCAATTAGAAAATAACACTACTCAGGAACAAAAAAAATTGATGTTTTTATTACCCAGTGATGATAATTATCATCATCACCCACCGTGGACTCACCGCATCAACCGCCTCCTACTCTCCCCCCCCCGCCCACCATTCTCCCCCATTCTCTCTGCACAACAACAACAACAACAACCAAAATATAAGTCTCGTAAATCGCGGCCGTGAAGCCGCCACGGCACAAACGCGTTTGTTTGTGCGATCACCATAGCGATCCACATTCGCCTCTTAAACATTCTACGAACGCACTTTAAAACTGCCCCCGAATGGGTCGGGAGTGGGGGGGGGGGGGAACCCCCGGTTCGTTATCTTATTTAAAATTATACCTAAATGCATTTTAAAACGTATAAATGACAATCACATACCATCCATTCGTTGACTGTGCTTTATTGTTGCGGGGGGCGGGTGTCGTCTGCTGGGTTTGTTGTTGTTGTTAAACCAGACTGCCTGCACCGCTCTCTCCACAGTTCATTTCGAGACTCGGGAGCCCCCCCCCCACACACACACATTGCAAAAGGAGCAAATCCGTCTGTGTAGCACATCTCCCACCAAGAAGCGTATGTGGAGTATGAACAACGTCGACGTTGAGAGAGACGTTGCAAGAAAGGACGAACCACCCCCCCGCGCCGCGCGCCTTCCCCCTGACATCCATCAACGCCACCGCCGCTGTCTCCAGCAGCCACAGTTCGCGTCGTGATGCTTTTGAGTCGTGCGCTGTCCCTCAGAGCATCACGGAACGCGCCGGTCGATGCCTGACGTCTCCAATAGAGAAATCCACGACGGGGCTATGCAGGGCAACGTTGGGGGGGGGGGGGGGTGGGGTGAGGGGGGGGGGCTTGGGAAGAGCTTTGTCTCTGGGAGGGTGAACTTGCGTGGCGCGATGAGCGAGCACAGTGGGGCGCTGTGTGGGTCACGACAGGGCCACGTCGTGAGAGTGACGGTGCCTCCATGCCACCCGTGAATGGGGTCGTGACCTGTGGCACCGTGGACTCAAAAAAGCGGCCTTCACCTCCAGCCACGAGAAAGGAAAAGCAGATTTAAACTAAACTAATCATCATCATCACGATACAAGGGCAGATAGCCCCGTAGGTGTCCACTAGCACATTTCGTCCACTTTCCTCTGTCTTGTGCCAATGTGCTCAAGTAGTGCGCATATGTTTCTGGCAACAATCTCTTATATCGCCGTCAAGACATTTGTGTCAAGCCAACTAAACCATTAAACAACTTTTTAATTTGTATTTTACCAGGTAAGGCCCATTGAGCTGTACAGCTATTTTTCAGAAGCGACCTGGCGATCACAAATGATGGCTCAACCACGTGGCTTGTTCATCACGTGGAAATTGACAGCAACCAAATACTCTCAACGCATTTGGATTCTAAATGTGGAGCGAAAACCCCGGTAGGAAAATCTACACGCTGGCAAAGAGAACATGCAAACTAAAAATATACAGCAGGCGTCAGGGCCAGGATCGAGCCCACGACCCCCTGCATACCAGGCGATGCAGAGCTCAACGCAAAACCGTGGTGGAACAACGAATCACCTTCAATGCTAACCAGTGGCAGTCATTGCCATCTTCGTCATAAGTCCTAATTACTCAAGTTGGGTTATGTCTCTCCGTTTGAACGAAATATTGTAATAGTAACCATTACCGTACATGACTGGATATGTTTGTAGTTTCAAAGTTCAGCTGAAAGATCTTGCTTCTGTGACGATGTGCACCGTTATACCATGTGGTCCATGGCCTTTCCCCTTTTTAACAACATAAAAGTCAGCTTTTAATTATTCACGTGACATCTAGAACCGCCTCCTTTTCATTTGCAAGGAAAGGCCCGGATCTTGCAATACGTGAACGTTTGCTTACAGACATTGCATACAATTAATCCAATAACTGATGGCCAATGGTCGAGACTAATGATGGATTGACAAGCAAATGCGGCGACAAGCCCGAGAGGACGTCCACCGTGGAAAGATTGAGTGGTGAGATTGGCTCGGGCGCAGGTACAAGATTAGGTCATCGTCGTGGGACCGTGAGGGCTGGAAATGTCTCGCTGGGGCCTTCCTCCAGCGTCTGACATATCAGTGTTCTTCATTGCAGGGTCAGTGGGCCACTGGCGGTCCCTGGCGGCCTTTAGTGTGGGTCCCGACAATACCCAACTTTGAAAAGAACCCCTTGCAAGGCGTGTGGTGGGCCTCGCACTGCTGATGTCTTAGCGGCGAAAGCGGCCTCCCCTCTGAAAATTCGTGATGAACACGGGGAAAGATGATCATGGGCGGTTCTGCTGCTGAACTGTCCACAACTAAGAGCCCCCAAACGACAACCAGAAGGGAGACGCGAATCAAACGCCAACACAAAACACTTGAATACATATACACTCTTTATTTATTTAAAAAATATAAGATCATTGTAGCCCATTTCAAAAGCTCCCAGAAGAGACAAAACCCGGAGCTCCCACCACGTCCGTGCAACTACTCGTGTCTGCTGGCTTTTTTTTTGGCTTTTTGTTAGGAGTTTTTTTCTTCTCTGAATTAATCGTCGGTATTAATTACACTCGTTAAGTGAGGTGAGCGTCAATAATATACACACGGGCGCGCGAGCACGGCATGACACAAGACGCTGCTGTTGCCACTTCAGAACGCGTGCGTGCGTGCGTGGCTTTATATTGCTACTGCGTGATGGTCGTTATCTGCAAGTTGCATTGCGTGCAACAAAACAACAACAAAACCCCTACCCCAGCGTGCAACCAACCCCGCGGTGTGTTTGGTTCCCCAATTTTGTCGTTGCCAAATACAGCGGCGCTGTCACGAAACACGCGCGAAGCACTTTCAAAGCGCACGTGGACGTTGTGAAAGCGTTTAAGACTCGAGTCGCGCTCTCTCTCTCCGACGTCGTCTCCCGTTCGTAAGAGGGGGCGCGTTGTTGGCTACACGATGTCACACGACGTTTCGTTCCCCGCACGTGCCGGCAGCTGTCGGCAACCGAGCAGCGAAACGTCGGACATGCAGCCGAACGACACGCGTCAACAAACGCTGTAACGGCACAACCGCGAAAGCCTACGCGGTTGTGCCCGTTACAGGACAAACGTTTCTTTTTTTGTGCTAAATTCGAGGGAATTGCTTTGCGAATACGACTCCCTCCTGAAGGTCGGTCCACCGTTCCCTTCGTGTGCGCGTCCGACTGATTTGAGTACTGCATCGGTAGACCGGACCATTTGCGCTCTGCAGCACTGACCAATAAGCAAAAACCAATAGCGCCCAGAATCAAATACGTTTGTGCACAATTTTTGGGCAAAGCATTGCATCTCTCAATTTAACGAAAACGTTGATTTAAACGTGCAACGGTGGTGGCGGTTATATCTGGTTATTGGTAATGTAACTCATGACCGTGTAAGAAGACGACAAAACTATTTCCAATCTGGTAATTATAGTTTAACCAGTAATCGATGTGTGTATAGAGTGGTGTATCGTGTGGCACTCACCAAAAAAACATCGAATGTGTTTTATGGTCAGCCACGTGAACGCCTCGACACAAAACCGCATGACCGGCATTAAGCGCATGGATATAAACAGGGTGCATCAACGTTTTTGTTTAACACTTCTGATAATTTGCAACAATGTCACAAGAAATGCGCTGCTGCTTCCGGGCTCTGGAGACCAGCTGGAGAAGATTCCAGGCCACGCGTTGACAACGATGACGAACAAGTGGAGAATGACTTTTTGAAGCTATTAACATCCACTTGTGATCATGTTACAGAGTATTATCCGTTCTTTTTCCATTAAAAACGAGAGTCCCATATAAGTGTTAACATTGTTTTTGAAACACCCTGTATATAGTTTGTACACGCTGTGTAAACATGTACATACTCCGTTTAGGTCCAGGGTAACAGTGTTAGTTTCGTCTTTAAACGTACCCACCACCGAAAGTCATTACACCGCTCAATGGCTCACGTGATTTGCCCATGACAGCGAGGCCCCATTGCTAAAGACTCCATGGACTCGCAACGATACACGACACGCAGTACATCTGTGTGTATACACACACCACACCAGTACATGGGTATATGCACCATACCAGTACGTGTGGTGTATATATATACACACACCACACCAGTACACGTGTGTGTGTACACCACACCAGTACACGTGTGTGTGTGTACACAATACCAGTACACGTGCCTTACACTTTGTTTTGAACTGCCATGAGTGCGTGCTGTTTATGCGTGGGACACAATGCACGTTGTCGAATGTGCCTTCACTCACTCTACCCCAAACACTCGGGAGTTCCACTGCTTAAAACGTCCTTAGTGACTACCCCAAGCTGGATCACAACTGAACTTTCGATTCTTGATGATCACTTCACTTGCAATTGCATATGACATCGTTTACATTTGGGTACAGGTGCACCCTGCATCTGTTTTAATAGATCTGTAACTTCATTGTTGTTGTTCCACGATCCGTCTAGGAATAATCGGCACGAGCCGACGACGAAATGGAATGTTGTAATATCGAAATGTGCTCGTGCGGCATTTCGGATTTGTCATGCGGTAGTTGTTTTTTTCCCCGATTTGTATTCGATTCATTGCTGTATTTTAGTCGATTTATTTCGGAGTTGGTAATTTTAGTTACCCCCCCCCCCCAGGTCACGCTCATCCCCCAGCATTCCCACCGGGTTAAACTAAATCAACTTGAACTTTGACCTCAATTTTTTTTCTTTTTGATTACCTGTGCCGACGCTTGCAACCCCCCACCCCCTCCCTAAAAAAAAACACACACACAAACCACCACGTTGACATTATTCTGGCCGATTCGACAACATCCCAATGTGTCCTCGTACAGCGCGGTATAACGCTCACAACGGAGCGCGATAAGCGTGCGCGCACAATGACGGATGCGTACAAAACACACAACACACACACACAAGCATTGGTCCAGACGATGAGATTGCGGGTCTAATCAGCCGCATTTGTAAAAGTACGCGCGTCCGTATGTGCGCGTGCGTGCGTGTGTGCGCGCGCGTACACAGACTGGGTTATATCGGCGCATTTGGTCACTGTGTCCACCCATCGAATGTGCCCCAGTGGAACACCACCCCCACTCCCCCCCCCCCAAAACTGTGCTCAGCCCAAAACATGCACGTGTAAACAGCGGGTTGCACTGGATAGGTGAACACACACACAGGCTGAAGCACACGTACACATGATGATGATAATATATTACATGGCATGCACCGGTGACTCTCGAAAGCGGCACGTGTCCGCGTGCCACCGCATCGCCATCCCTCCCCCCCCCGTGAATATTTACAGCGGCAACCATTGGAGCCACGCGCGTGCGTCGTTAGCGGCTTCCTTAGCAAATTGTTTCTCACGCGCACACACACACACGACTGGATCGCAAAAAATTATAACACGGCCAAGGCAGTCGCACTTCCGCTGGAAATAAATTAAACAAAAACTGGGGGGAGGGGGCGGCGTGCACGCGCGCTGCGAAAACGCAAGCGGAAACGAGTTACCAAACCCACACGTGACAACTTGTAATGCTTTTATTTTTGCAAGTGCCAAAATCACGCGGGGGGGGGGGGGTGGATAGGGGGGCGGGCGCTGTGCGTGGGGAACAGAAGCGGGGTTCCCACTGCCAACGCTGTGCCCCCCCCCCTTTATCTATCGAGCAATTCCAGCGAGCGATTGGCGGAGCGACTTCCTTCTACAAAACCGCGAGGATGTTCCACGGAGACAGAGGTTAAAGCGGACTATTAAAAAAAACTATTTTTTTTGTATTTTACTAGGTAAGGGTCCACCGATCTACACAGCTCTCTCCGTTTCAGAAGCGACCTGGCGAACACAAATGATAGCTCAACCAAGCGGTTTATCAACGTGTGGAAATTCATGTCAGCCAAATACTTCTCAACGTCATGTCGATTATAAATGTGGAGCGAGGGTGGGGGGAGGGGCGCAAGATAAAAATCCACGCGACCACGGGGATAGAACACGCAAACTCCAAATATACAGCAGGCGTAAGGGTCAGGTTCGAACCCACGACCTCCTGTATACCAGGCAAGATAGTTAACATCTCCTAGCCACCGTGTCGCCGCAGGTGAAGTGAGCTGCTCGGAGTGACACGTGCCTGACAAAGCCAACGGCTTCCGCAGCTCCGCGTTTGTGTTTGGTCCATTTACCCGACACCTAGAAAGTGCGAATGCCTTGACGGACGAGTTTTTTTTTTCCGCGAGGTTTTGGCTGCCTTTTTTTGTTGTCGTAGAACCCATGCCAGAGGAAACAAATAAACAAGAAAGGTTACGTTAATTAAAAAAATCGATCCATGATGCGCGGAAACCCGTTAATACCCAAGCACGAAAATAGAAGATTCCAAGGAACGACCACGGCCAGACGGCAACCAAACAGAACGCGGGGAACAAATGGAAAAAAAAAATGGAAAAAAAATGGAAAAAAAAGAAAAAATTAAAACGATGCAAAAAGACGCACGCCAACCCCCTTGCTTGTGCGGTGGCTGGCATACCCCAGTGGATTGTCACGAACACACGAGAAAAAAAACCCAACAACCTTATTATACACCGTAGCGATCACCTTTCTCAGAGCAGACGGGATTACTAAAGTTAACGTGGGAGCGTGTAGGCAAAAGACCACCACCATCACCCACGCCCGAGAATCCACCACCGCCAAGATAACATCGCCAGGTGCTCCACCAACGCGGTTATTTTGCAGGAAACCAGACAACCGGCTGCCAGAGTTAGTTTGCAACCCTTCGCACCGCAGCTCCGCGCACGCACGCACACACGCACACGCACACACACGCACACACACGCACACACACACGCACACACACACACTGCCCGTGCGTTCCCGAAGCCAGCACGGCTCATCGCGCTGTGCATTGCTTACACACAACGGCTGTGCGTGGATTCCACCGCAGCCGCAAAACGGTACCACATCGCCTCCCGCCGTCCGCGTGTCGAGAGGCGAAACAACGCCAAAGGTTCGCGTGAAACCGGGCGGTTATAAACGAGTCCTTCGCACGGTGGATGCTACGCCGCGGTGAATGTTTACAAACATCCGCAAAACACGTGGCTAACGAACGACGGCGGCGCTGCTGTACCGTTCGGCGGGGTGTGTGGGGGGGGGTGTAATGCTGCACGCGTAATTAGCGCCCCAATTGCTTGCCCCCACCCACCTGCCCCCCTCCCCCCACCCTTTGTAATTGCTCGAGGTAACCGGCGGCTTACGAGTCTGTAGCGCCGACCTACGGTGGGGGGCCAGCGACACAGCGGCCACGCCGCTAGTTAACATTCATGCATTGTTGCGAGGGCACGGTGGATGACGGGACGATATTCTTGCTGGAAAAGAACTGACGATGGTTTAAAGGCCATGGAGCGACGTAGTGAGGGGAGGGTATTTTCTACAACTTGAGCTAAAGTTACGTCCAGACCTCCGATGCAAACTAAATAGCCGAGGAAGTTTTTTGCGCCGTTGAATCCGGTCTGCTGACAACGACGACGCAGCTATCGTTATTTAACGTTTTTCTAAAGCAGTTTGTATATTTTTTTTAATAGGAAGCATTTCATTGCAACTGGTAACATCCCAGACTCGGAATATATTGTTTCATTGAGCCAAAATGGTCAACATTCATATTTAACAATATTCGTATGCACTAGGAATAACTGCCAGCACTGTGTCAATCTATTGCTGCCATGACAGCACTCAACCCCCCCCCCCAATTCGCTTTAGTCATGGGCGTTTGACCATACTTCACCACGCTGGTAAACCAATGCAGGTTGGTGAAGCTTGGCCCAGGGCTAGCTCTTAGCACTCACCACCGATGTTAGCCATTGGCCAGGAAATCAAAACTCAGATTTCCAGGTTTACGGTGCAATTTGTTAACCAACTCTGCCACCACGTCCACCCCAGTGAACGATAAAAAAAAAATATTTGTGAAGCCCTCCCCCCCTCCCTCCCCAGGGCCAACCACTTAAAAGCAAAGATGAGAAACGTGGATGAAAAAGGATCGTGCAAAGGAACGTTCATCGTTCCAACATATGCACCGAACATGAACGACAACAGCGACTGCTGATGATTCCCAGCGGCTCGGCGATGTTTCGTGTCTGGCCAGCGTTCGTGTTCCAGTAAGGGTTGCCCCCACATCTGAGGTCCACAAACCTGGGACATGTCATGGGAAGAATATCTCACAATATCACATGTAGATGCATTCTCTCGAGCGGTGTATTATTACTATTAAGGAACTAACAACAAAAACCGGGACTTTTAAAGTCTCGGGAAGACTTAAAGAGATTTCCCAGTACTGCTGCCTCAACAAGAGGACGATCCTGAAGCAACCGGGAGAGGAGGTGGATCCTAGTTACAGCAACGTGAGAAGAAGAGCACACACCAAGAGTGAAATGGGGCACCCATCACCCAACGTCGTATCAACAAAACGGCCATCATACAAGACACAACCTCTTCACACGGACATAATTATTATTATTGCGCCACAGGTCCGATTCGCCCGCTTACCAATGTCCCCTCTCATCCAAATGGTGCCCAATAAAGTACCGATGTCTCCATTGCCAACACACTCAGTCAAATGTAACGGTGAGGTGCATCGGCCGTTTGGCAAATTGTGAATCTGGCCCAAGTGTACTGGATGGCTCAACATGGCGCAATGCTGCCCTCTCTCTCTCTCTCTCCCCGTGCCACAGATTAGCGAAATGTGGCTCTCCGATGTGTTTTTGGGTTGTTGCCGCAATGTTATTTTTGGCACGATGTCTGACGTTCTGCTCGACGAGCTGGGAACGTTCTTCAGGAACTACAGCGAAGAAGCTAACCGGAAGCGCCGGCTTGAAACGCCCGACAACGTGCGGTCAAACAGTAAAAACCAATCGGAGAGAGTGTACGGCACAACCATGAACACATGCGCGGGAGCACAGGGTGACCATCGGTGGTGAGATATAAAAAAAAAATCACCAGGAGTTACACGAGCTATCAGGAATAGCAAACTTGGACAGAAAACGTTGGCCCTGTATTTAGGGATGACGGTTTACTGTTTTCTTCCAAGTTCGGATGCAAAGGCGACTTGCACGAAAGGTGATGGTGGTGCAATTCACAATTCCTTTAATGCGTTAACAAATACGGTACTGTCATAGCAGTCTATACAGGCTGAAGCACTTTAATATAAAGTCGCATCCTCGTCGTACTGACGTTCACAACTGCTCCAGTGTTTGCTTGAGACCGAAAATGAGGCCCTAAAGTTCAAACGTAGGCTACGCCGCGATAGAAATCCCCGCACGTCACAAATAATCTCGTGCAGTCGATGTTACTTTGAAACGTTAATTTGGCATCGTTTATAGATTCTTTTTGTTATTTTTATTAAAATAGCATTAAATAGATCATTAGACGCTCGAATGACGGGAGTTTGTGTTTTACAAGTCGTGAAAATTTAAGAGCGTAGACACGCACGCACGGTACACAAGTGGACTCGTAACTCGTCTCCTCACGACGTCCCAGTGCCATTCAGTGCTTTCAAAACCTCGCAGCGGCGACCTCAACCGACGACCGTGGTGGTCGTCTTCGTCTTGTAAAATAAACTCCACGCCAAGCTCGTGCGCCACTTTCGGGCCAACCTTAACGCGGGAGCTCGAAAAAAATATAAACCGCCACCGAAGAATATACGTTGACACATTCACGGCGAACGCCAAGCTCCCGCTCCGCAGTGGATGGAAACGACACCGTTGCGACCTAGGAGACGAACGCAGGGGTGCCCGGCTGGCTACAGGAAAGCTGCTTGGCCCGCGAGAAGTAAGAGCAGAGGTGGGTGGGTGACTGGCTGGCTGACTGAACAAGAGGTGACAGCAACAGAGCTGAGCACACCTAGTTTCTCAAGAGAAATTAAGAGCGGGCAGGGGCTCTGGCTGGAGAGAGAGAGAGAGAGACAGAAGACTGTGATGATGCGATTCGTATAATTTTCCTGACTCAACCAATTCCTGACCCTGCTTTGTGAGAGAGACGCGCGCGCACAGTGCAAAATTCAAGTCAGCGGTGCAGCATAGGTTAATATTTTAAGGCCATTTTGGCTCACAATGGCAGGGATTATTTACAGTGAAAATTCCAGTAACAATATGCATCTAAACCCAGAAAAAGGTTACACCAGACCCAGATATATATTTATATACTTGTACATACATAGAAATCAGATCTCCCCATGTCACCAAGCTTTGATTGAGAAAACAAAGATATTCACAAAATAAAAAAAAAATATGAACTTAAATTCGCTGACGTCCGATATTAATAAAATCAAAAACAAAAAATAAAGATAGATCTTTTTTTTTGTCAGACTCGTTCTCTTCAGCCGGGCCCTGGCCCTCTCTTCAGGTCGAACTTCCTCCACAGCGTGCTCGCTCACTTCACCAGCAGCTGCTTTTTTATCCTCTCCACCTCCACCTGTGAAGAGTGTGCAGAGAAAACGAATCCGGAATGCAGCAACGCCCGTCTCTAACACCCGTCGAGAAGCAATGCCTCATCACGAGATGGACGACGGCCTCGTCTTCGAAGACTGACGAAACGCAAACGTCCGACAGGCCTCGCGAGCCTCGCCGAGCTCGACGCGGCGCTGGGGCGACGAATCGACGAGGTCGACGGCTCTGATGATTAATCGTCAAGAAAGACATCTTATTTGACTGTGCTTCTGTGGCCCATTACACGACCGCTAGGTATTTTTAACAATGCTGGCTGCCCCCATATCTGCCCAATGCGTTGCAGCTGATGATGATGCCGATGATGTCAACAAGCCCCGCCCATTACCTCCCGCCCAGTGGCACACGGGGGGGGGGGGGGGGGTGTGAGGTGGGAACAGAGGCGAGGCTTCTGTCCCAACTAATTTAGCTTTTTTCCAATTGGTCGAGTAATCAGGCGGTAATGGGAAGAGTAATTTAATTATCACCTTCATTGAAAACTCATGTTTTGAGCACTGCTTTAGTTTGTTGTCCTTCCCCTGTACCTCCGATAAGCACGGTTGGCTTTGTACGGTGCGAAAGAAGTCCAACGTACGTACACACAATCAATGAGTTAAATCATTGGACAGCCCAACTGTAATTCACTGTGGGCGCCCACGTGAGCCCACGTGAGCCCACGTGAGGCCAGGTGAGGCCAGGTGAGCCCACGTGAGACCAGGTGAGGCCAGGTGAGCCCACGTGAGCGGCGCGTGGTCGTGGCGAGCGCGAGGAGTTGGTACGAGCGCGTGGTACCTGAAGCTGAACTCTCCGCTTCTTCTCCTCCTCCAGCTCGCTGACCAGCTGCGATATTTCTCTCCTTTCGGGCACGTCGCACGGGGGGGAAGAGATAGACAGAAATGAACATGAGGCGGCAACAACGAAAAATACATTTAACTAAACGCAGCAACGCAGAGCGAAACTTCAGAAGTTACAAATTAATGATGTGCTTGGAAACCCAAAAAAAAGTATTTGAGAAAGACAGGTGGTGAAGAGGTTAAAAAGGAGAAGCGATAATGATTACACCACTGGTCTACAAATTTTTAGACGTCGTCTGCTTCAGAGATGAAATGTGCTGTTTATTGTGGATTTTGATGTGCTGAATTCAAATGTGACAATTAAAACAACTGATTGGCTACTGTTCCCAAGATATTGAAGTGTTTACATTTTACGTCTATCTATATTGTGTAGATAGTAGAGTTTTACTCATAAATTGTAAACCTAGGTCTTTTCATGTGTTTATGGTTGCTTTACATGATAACATGTCACCTGTCCTGTTCCTGTAACACTTAAAAAATCAGCATAAGGGTTATATACATAACATTTAATATGAAACAAAAGGCAAAAAACTATGATGTACATATAAGTACATAGTTCAGTCGTCATTCAGTGTCTACTCGGTGCTTCTTGGCTTGTCTCTTGTATTCATTAATGGAGCAACTCTTGTCACTGTCCAGCAATAGTCTGCAAGCATTGATGGGCTCCATTTGCCCTGATAGCGTTTCTCCATTGTTGCAAAGTCCTGGGTGAAATCACTCGCCATGCTCGTCGCTCACCGCAGTTCGGTGGGAAAAAATCTAGATGAGACACCTTCCTTTATCTTAGCTTCACTTAACATTGGACATTTTCCACGGAGGTACTTGAATGCTGCTTGTGTTTTGTCCATGGCTTTGACAAAGTTCTTCAGCAGACCCAGCTTGATGTGTAAGGGTGGTAACAACATTTGCATTGATTCAACAAGTGCTGGATGCTGAACACTTTTCCTCACAGTCTTCAATGACTGTCGGAGTGGCCAATCTATCTTGATGTAGTGGGAGTCTCTTGCAAGACTATCCCATTCGCAGAGAGAACAGCAGTACTTTGTCTATCCAGTCTGCAGACCAAGCAAGAGAGCAACAACCTTCAAATCGCCACAAAGCTGCCACTGACGTTGGTCATAGTTTATGCACCTCAAAAGTTGTTTCATGTTGTCATAGGTTTACATCATATGGACTGCATGACCAACTGGAATTGATGGCAAGACATTGCCATGATGCAGCAAAACAGCTTTAAGACTCATCTTGGATGAATCAATGAACAGTCTCCACTCATCTGGACCATGAGCGATGTTGAGGGCTACCGTCACACCATCGATGTTGTTGCAGGCTACAAGATCACCTTCCATGAAGAAGAACGGGACAAGATCCTTTTGATGGTCACAGAACATGGAAACCCTAACATCACCTGCCAGGAGATTCCACTGTTGTAGTCTGGAGCCCAACAGCTCTGCCTTACTCTTGGGTAGTTCCAAATCCCTGACAAGGTCTTTCAGTTCACCTTGTGTTATGAGGTGTGGTTCACAGGAGGAGGATGGGAGAAATCTGGGTTATGTGATCTTGATGGTTCAGGACCAGAAGTTTCATCCTCCTCCTCGTCCGACTCAAGTGAGAATGATTCTGGTGCATCAGGAACCGGCAGTCCTTCTCCGTGAAGTACTGGGCGTATAGCTGATGGAATGTTTGGATAATGCACAGTCCACTTTTTCTTCTTTGACACACCTTTCCCAACTGGAGGTGCCATGCAGAAGAAACAATTGCTGATATGATCTGTTGGCTCTCTACAAATAATTGGCACTGCAAAAGGCATAGATTTCCTTTTCCTGTTCAACCACTGGTGAAGATTTTTTGCACAAGTGTTGCAGCATATGTGTGGGACCCACATCTTGTCCTGATCTCCAATTTTGCAGCCAAAATAAAGGTGATAGGCTTTCTTAACCATAGTGGTTATACTGTGCTTTGGTGATGCAAGAGTCACTTCACCACAAACATAGCAGACGTTATCTGCTTTATTCACAAGTACGAGGCATCTCTGCTCACTTTGGCTCAACAGAAATGTGTCCCCTTGCACAATCAAACACTGACAAATAAGAGCACGACACTGTATGATTTCTAGAGCTGATATTGGGCAATTTGTTCAGCAGAGGGATGCAAGCCTAGTTATGATTGCATCATCCATGACTTCTAGGAATAACATGATGCAATTCATTTCATGTATGACACAATACCAGGTTCAGATTACATAATTCATTGTTTTGCGAAAAAAGTACTGTCCAAACCCAGTCACAGATTAATTCATAGATCCAGTCAAAGACGTATTTTAGTCATTTCTGGTTTAAATTGAGATCCCTTCCCTTTATAACTCACTTATCCTCTGCCATTACCAAGTCAAGGATCGTATATGCTGGCCCAGTAGCATATCTTGAAGACTAGAGGCAATCAACAATTTTAAGCATCATTTTCATTCTCAGCGACTCAGAATTAGTAAGGTTGGACTACATTTATTTCGGAAGCATTTTGGCTGTAGACCAGGGAGAAGAACAAATAAGGACACGTATGTTGTATGTTGAACTTCTTTGGCACCGTACATAGCCAACCGTGCTACTGCTGAGGCACATGACGATGAAGAAAGACCCGGCAACATCGCGCCCCCTTCCCCCCGCAGCCCTCCTTACTTGTGCTGAATCTTCATGGCCTCCATGGCTTCGCGCAGCTCTCGCACCTGCGCCTGCAGGTCGTCTCCGCCGCCGCTGCCACCGCCGCCACCCTGTGGCTCCGCGCCGGACGGCGGCTGTCTCCGCGCATTCAGCGCCTCGCTCACGATGGTCGACAGGGGCCGCGGAAGCGGGGACGACGCCCCTCCGCTCGCCCCCTGCGACCCCTGCGACGATGGCGGAGTCACCGGCGTCGCCGTCGCGCCCAGGCCCAGCGGCGGCTTCTTCTTTGGTTCCAGCATCTTGCTAATGGGACGCCCGCTGTCCGTTTGCGACGAGTTCTGCGGTGTCGGCGGAGGGACAGGGGTTAGTGGCGGCCGCGCTGTCTTGCGGGAGGTCCAGCCGTCTGTGAGAACGACGATAAAATCGTTCGCAGATTCTCCGTTTGAGTTGGTCGGGCTGTGCCGCCCCACGCGTCCGTTCACCACGTCACGGCGTTTTGCTCCCAGCGAGTAAACGTCAGGCGTGGCGCCAAACGACACGCGGTACAGCGACACGCGCTACAACCCAAGAAATAAGCACGTGCGCCAAAACCTATGCAGCGGTAGCAATTGCAGGACTCCGGAGCTCAGACAAGTCGCAGCTACAGGGTGTGCTCAAGAAAGTGGGCTATATAAGGGGTGTGGAGCCCCCCCGGTTTTTCTTAAAATAAACCCCATTATTTCCATGAAGGGTAAGGTTATAGCTCATTTATTGCTTGTGATGTTAATTTTTGCATTGCTTTTCATCTTATAAAAATATAAACATATAAAAGAACAGTAAACAAACCAAGCACCCGAAACCGCAAAGCTAACTCCGGAACGCACAAACCCCAACGCGACAGTCGAAACCGCGCACCGCGGCGACGCTAAACTGGGCCACACTCCGTGGCAGCGGGCACAGCCCCGAGCACGCCAGCGCATGGCCGTCGCCTCCACCGCCACCCCACCCCACCGCGTACCGGCTGCTCGGCGGTGCGGTGCTGCTTTTCTTCCGCTTCCTCGCCCGAGTCCGAGCGAGACACGGCGCCTTCTGCCGACGGGCTCTCCATTTCCCACTGCACGCAAGCGGGGGGAGGGGAGTGGGGGGGGGGCGCGTAGTCCAGCACGAGTCAAAGGTTGGCGCCGCCAGAAACACTTGACGGGAAGAGAGGGCCCTGGGTTCGATTCCCGACTCGGGTGCCTCGCTGTGTGTGGAGTTTGTAGGTTCTCTCCCCCTGCGCTGCATGGGTTTTTCCCTCTGGATTCTTCCTGGTTTCCACCCATAGAAAAAAAGAAACCCCCCAATGTGAATGGTATTCGGCCAAACATCCCAATGCTGGAAGGTTACCTGGAAATGACTCAAATGGATTTACACGTAGCCGCAAGATCACCCCCCGTTACTGTGAAAACTTGTCAGGACCCTCCTGAAAGAGTCTTGAGAATCGGCGATGCTCTCCTGGGTCAACAAGCGTAATCTCCACATGTCCATTACACCGAAGCTGTTGTCTCTTGAGTTTTACTTTCTTATCGTGAGAGTTAACGGCGATCGCTACCGACAGACCCCCCACTGTCTTCCTGAGCACATGCACGGTCATTCACTATTGTCCTATAAAACCACGGTACCAACTGCGGCGATAGCGATTCGTACATTCCTCTCTTAAAATGTACTCATTAAGCTCGCAAAAAAACACGCGTTCAAACCACGAACGTAACTTTTAATCATCTCAGATTCGTCATGTGTTTACGTCACGGCAATAAAGCCCCCCGGGGTTAAAGAGGCCCCTTGCATTGACAGGAGCGACTGAGCGTGCTGACATTAGAACACGCGGTGTTGCCAGGTCGAAAATATTTACACTTCTAGTACCGGATGAGTGACGCCAAGATGACTGCAGCGGAAAAAAATACGTATTGTTCGCGGAATGCTTCCAAGTGACAGGCCTGGTTGGGGGCCACGGGCCGTATGAAATTAAGCCGAGGGCCGTCGTATCTCGTCTGCGGATGGCCAAAGGTTCCCCACCCTTGCCCTAACATCCAGAGTTGTGCCACCATGAGATGCCCAAGGGGGTTGTAGGAGTGGGGAGGGGGTGGTGGTGTCAATGTGGACCATATACCAAGACATTGCCAGGGAACTGGCTGGGTGGCCGGCGGCCTTTGTGCTTGGGCCGGTTGGTGGTCGGGTGATTGAGCTTCTCGGGAGAGGGGACCACCACGTCGAACCCCACCAGCTCTGCACCCCAGTCAAGCAGAACAAACACACAGAACACTGAGACAAAAATCCCCCACCCCCGTGTAGCCTCAACACACTGCAGGAGCAAGTGCTGTTAGCGAGCACCGATGAAAGCCGGCACGGCACACGAAAGGGGGTGGGAGTGGCCAATGCCACACCCTAACACAGAGAATACACAAAAAGACAAAGTCTACCTAGGGGAAGCCCATGACCGGTTTAGACAACTGTCACTGGCGCTGGCCGTGAGGAGGAATCGAACTCGGGTCGCCGGGTTCATAGTGCAGCGGGCTAACCACTACTTGACCGCTCCCACACACACTCTCATACAGGAATGCATGCACGCGCACACACACAGGAACGTGGTGCCCTGAGCTCTCCTGTGCACGGCTGTCTGCTTGAATTGTTCACTCGGGTCTACCTTCCACAATGAATCCTTACATATTAACAGCACCAATACAGTGATGTCATTAAACTAGTGGTGTAATTTAAGCACCATGACTGTGCATTTAAATCCATTATCCTCATTAATGGACTTGCCTGAGACACACAGCCTAGAATCCTATCTACAAGTTGAGAGCTGCGTTAAATTTGAATCTCAATTTAACAATCCTTCACTTGGTCTTACGCAAACTCAAGAATTTACAGAATAAACCCCACGTGCTGCTACATCAAAAGAACAGCGGGGGCCGGCTACTGTGAGCCCAAGAGGTCAATCCCAACACGAGCATCGAGCGGCCTAGCGTGCGATTCCGATGTTCACGTCAGCGCAAAAATTGTTCCGCGCCCGATACAAGAGCAGCCCACGAACACCGCCCCGTGAGCAGAGAAAGTTTGAGAGCGGGGGACGGGGTGTCGATCATCCTCATAGTGACCAGGCCACTGTCTCACCGCTGTCTGTGCTCTTGTCGGACGAGTCCAGCTCAACCAGCTTGGGGTGGGAGAATCCTACCAAGTCACCGGTAGGCCTGCGGGGAATGAGCAGATGCAGGTTTAGCGCAACGAACAACCGCGACACTGTCGAGTCGCATACGCGGGGTCTCTGCAGGTGCCTCCCGCTGCCTGCCGCTACGTTCATGGCCGTTACACAGTGTATACACGCTATCAGTGTTCGCACAGTACAATCAGAGACTCGGGTGTAGTGTAAGTTCAACTTGAGGGGCAATAACAACAGCTGTTAAGTTTGGATTTAAAGCTTTCGTGACTGCAGGGATTCATATTCTTGGTTCTTTCGGTAAAGTCACGTAGAAGGGAAACAATAAAATAATAAAATATATATAAAACAATACAAATTCTCACGACGTTTCGACCATAACACAAACGGCCGTCATCAGGTGTGTCGGTCCGCATTAATTTATTTATTTTTAAAACGGTGTATTTATTTATAAAAAACGTCAGCGCCACGGGCAGCGATTTGGCAGTTTATTTAGAACGACTAGTCCATCTATGTTCTGAAAAGAGGAGGGGGGATTCTGGCTTAGAAATCATTGGAAAGATTTAATAAACCATTTCAGGTCTTAATTGATTGTTCACGCTTACAGTGGCCTGCTGTATATTTGGAGTTTGCGTGTATCTTTCCCCGTGGTCGCGTGGATTTTTCTCCAGGTCCGCCGGTTTTTCCCTCCACATTTAAAAAACACGCGTTTAGGGTATTTGGCTGCAATAAATTTCCACGTGACAAGTCACCTCGTTGAGCTATTATTCGTGATAGCCAGGTCACCGCTGAAAAAGAGCGATGAAGCTCAGTGGGCCTAACCTGGTAAAACAAAACTAGATTGTAATTGATTTGAAGCTTTCGTCACTGCAGGAATCCATACTCTTTGGTTCCAAAGAGTTTAGATAATAATTTTTAGTTTCATCAACGATGATGATTAATGAGCATGGCATTGTGGACGCAGTGTACTAAAATTGAACCACAGTACTTTGCTGATCTCATCAAGGAGCATAAACAGTAAAGCAAATTCCGGTCATCCTCGCAGCGGCTTTCAGCTAGCCATCAGATGCGCGCTTTTGCGGCTGTCTGGAACGCTCTGCCTTCCGATATTCGGAAGCCACTGGAGCTATGGCACTTTCAAATAATCTAGATTGAGAACTCGTTCATTTATAACTGTTTTTTTGCGTTTAAATCTCGACTTAAAGCTTTCGTGACTGCAGGAATTAATATTATTTGGATCTTTCGGTAGAGTCACGGAGATAGAACAATAAAAAATAAAAAAAATAATTAAAATGTGATATTTTTTATTCACTTTATTTTACTATTTTGCGTTTAGTTTGTTGTCCTTCTCTCACACCTCTGATTAGAAACACGGTTGGTTACGTATGGTGCGCGAAAGGAATTCAACATACGTACATACACACACATATGTACGTACCTCACGGGGGAGATGGGCGTGGAGGGCTTCTCCGGCCGCTTGGGACCCACGCCGGAGCCGATGCGGGTGACGGCGGGGCCCTTGGGAGCCGCCGGCTTGGGGGGGATGGCCGGAGCAGCCGGCTTGGCGGGGATGTCCGGGTGCCTCTCGTCTGCGCGGCCAGAGACACAGGTGAGCCCGGTGCGGAATGTTAACAATAATGATTACGTTTGATGAAATAAAAACAGGAGGTGTTAAGATGTTCGAACACCAAATGGATACCTTTTTGCAAGGCATCAAAAGTCTACATTAACCATGCATACTTGTGGCAAAACATGCTCTGATAATATATGCATTGTCTTTGAAACCGATTGCCCTACACAAGAGAGACAGCCTTCTTTACGGCCTTTTCTCTCCAGTGTTAGACCAGAGAATGCCAAAAGGCAAACAGTACAAAGGCAATTCAAGTATCAGAGCACTTACAGCTTGAGTAGAGGAGTTACATCAATGGGACCTTTTTTGCCGGTATCAAAATGAATGTTATTGTATTTTAGGAAAGGAAAAAAATGTAAATCCTTTTTGAGCACAGGCCCACGGGGGGCCAGCAAACAAACGGCGCACACTCATCAAAGTCGTAACAGATCGGAGTTACCGCGTAGCTCGCCTTGACGGCGTTCGTCTTAATCCGCGCGGCTATGTCGGGAAAGCGTTGTCTCTGCGCGTTGACTTACCCTTCTCCTCCTGCTTGAAGGGGAGCTCGGGCCGTTCAGGCTTGTCTGGAACGACCTTGCGGACATCCTTCTTGTCTGGCAGAAGGGACGCGCCCACGCACGCGATGTAAGCCGTGCCAAGGGGAACGGCCGCGTTCACCGTTCAACAAATCTGGCGCCATCTACCGCCTATGTGGAGCCTTTTGGCGAATCCACAATTTGAAGTCCGTTATGCACAGAGCCCTGAGTTCTATCCCTTCCCTCTCATGTGCCTGGGTTTCTCCAGGCACTCGGATGGAACACTCGTTGAAAGATAGTGGCCAAAAAAACACCGAAAAAAGTAGGCACCTTTCTGAAACTTCTGATAGAAATTTTGCATGTTTTGCCTTTAACCATCTGTATATAGTTATTGTCACTTTTAGGTGAGCAGAAGCCAGGGGGAATTTACACCACAACTGCACCACACCACACACAACCTGCCAATCGAATAACGTTGTAGTATGGGGCGGTGTAGCATGGTGTGGTGTCGTGATGCGACCATTATATAACACGCAACTAAACTCCACCGTACTATATATCACTGCCAGCCCTTTCGGCAGGTCCATGTATGGTGGAGGTAAATCGTGACACCATGGACTTTTGGGGCAATTTGTGACACCGAATATCATTACACAGCGGCTTTTGGCTAGCCACTGAACAAAGACGATCACCGCAATCGCGCGCTTTCAGATGCGCTTCTGCGGCCGTCTGGAATGCTCTTCCTTCCTGTATTAGGAAGCCACCGGAGCGCTGCGCACTTTTCAATCATCTAGATTGAAAACTAATTTCTTTAGAACTGCTTTTTGTGCTTAGTTTATTGTCCTTCGCCCGCACCTCTGATTAGCACGGTTGGCCACATGCAGTGCAAAAGAAGTTCAACATACATACAGTGAGGGGAAAAAGTATTTGATCCCCTGCTCATTTTGTACGTTTGCTCACTGACAAAGAAATGATCAGTCTATATTTTTAATGGTAAGTTTATTTGAACAGTGAGAGACATAATAACAAAAACATCCAGAAAAACGCATGTCAAAAATGTTATAAATTGATTTGCATTTTAATGAGGGAAATAAGTATTTGACCCCCTCTCAATCAGAAAGATTTCTGGCTCCCAGGTGTCTTTTATACAGGTAACGAGCTGAGATTAGAAGCACACTCTTAAAGGGAGTGCTCCTAATCTCAGCTTGTTACCTGTATAAAAGACACCTGTCTACAGAAGCAATAAATCAATCAGATTCCAAACTCTCCACCATGGCCAAGACCAAAGAGCTCTCCAAGGATGTCAGGGACAAGATTGTGGACCTACACAAGGCTGGAATGGGCTACAAGACCATTGCCAAGCAGCTTGGTGAGAAGGTGACAACAGTTGGTGCGATTATTCGCAAATGGAAGAAGCATAAAAGAACTGTCAATCTCCCTCGGCCTGGGGCTCCATGCAAGATCTCACCCCGTGGAGTTGCAATGATCATGAGAACGGTGAGGAATCAGTCTGGAACTACACGGGAGGATCTTGTCAATGATCTCAAGGCAGCTGGGACCACAGTCACCAAGAAAACAATAGGTAACACACTACGCCGTGAAGGACTGAAATCCTGCAGTGCCCGCAAGGTCCCCCTGCTCAAGAAAGCACATATATACAAGCCCGTCTGAAGTTTGCCAATGAACATCTGAATGATTAAGAGGACAACTGGGTGAAAGTGTTGTGGTCAGATGAGACCAAAATGGAGCTCTTTGGCATCAACTCAACTCGCCGTGTTTGGAGGAGGAGGAATGCTGCCTATGACCCCAATAACACCATCCCCCACCGTCAAACATGGAGGTGGAAACATATGCTTTGGGGGTGTTTTTCTGCTAAGGGGACAGGACAACTTCACTGCATCAAAGGGACGATGGACGGGGCCATGTACCGTCAAATCTTGGGTGAGAACCTCCTTCCCTCAGCCAGGGCATTGAAAATGGGTCGTGGATGGGTATTCCAGCATGACAATGACCCAAAACACACGGCCAAGGCAACAAAGGAGTGGCTGAAGAAGAAGCAAATTAAGGTCCTGGAGTGGCCTAGCCAGTCTCCAGACCTTAATCCCATAGAAAATCTGTGGAGGGAGCTGAAGGTTCGAGTTGCCAAATGTCAGCCTCGAAACCTTAATGACTTGGAGATCTGCAAAGAGGAGTGGGACAAAATCCCTCCTGACATGTGTGCAAACCTAGTGGCCAACTACAAGAAACGTCTGACCTCTGTGATTGCCAACAAGGGTTTTGCCACCAAGTACTAAGTCATGTTTTGCAGAGGGGTCAAATACTTATTTCCCTCATTAAAATGCAAATCAATTCATAAAATTTTTGACAAGCGTTTTCTGGATTTTGATGTTGTTATTCTGTCTCTAACTGTTCAAATAAACCTACCATTAAAATTATAGACTGATCATTTCTTTGTCAGTGTGCAAACGTACAAAATCAGCAGGGGATCAAATACTTTTTTCCCTCACTGTACATACACATGATTCCAACACTGCTGAAAATCATCCCTCTGCAAACTCACCTCCTAGGTTCACCTTCACGAGGGTGGCTGGAAGAGGCGGCTTTTTGGGCTTCTGTGAAAAAGAGACGGATTGAGGAGAGACAGTGGGGGGCGGGGGAGGAGAGGGGGCGAGGTTACAGACAATTATATCAGTCAAGGCTGAACTGTGGACAAGCTGCCGATTTTATTCCTTGATTATTTCAGCGAGAGCAAACCACTCATTGAGGAGGCATTAATTGGGCTTTTAGAACGTAAATTGAGATCACAGTAGGTTCAAGGAAGCCACAGGCCATGACAAATCACTTTTATCTTGTACACACTTTCTTAAGGCGAATTTTGAGCTGTTCAATTTGAGTTTTTAGCTTCGTTCATAGAAAAAATAATTAAAAGTTATGGTCAGGAGTGCTTACTGACACAGCATGACAGGCTGTCAGCACAGCGATCCTAAGCACAACTTTAAATGCTTTTTCATTTTCATTATCAAAGCTTCAAAATCGCTTTAGACAGACAGGGGACACGCAGCCACCTAGGTCTGGATCTACCAAAGGATATTTGTTTTTGTTACATCTCACCTTTGATAAATAATTTTCCAAAAAACACTTTGAATTTTGCGCGAAAATCACAAAGGCAATGAACAAGGCAAATTGGCGAGCAAGCAAGTGGAACCCTGTGCACGCTCTGCCACCATAATTTGGGTTTTGTTTATTTATTTTTCGGTTGCCAACGTACGGCCTTGGACTCTCAATCGGTGCCCAGCTATGGATGTGCCCCACGGGAGTCAACGCAGGCTGCTGTGCTCGCATTTTCCCAAGCGCGCCCCACCCTCCCTAGGGGGCACAATGACATTTTGAGGCCAGGGCTGCGACGGCGATGCGCCACCAACCGCATCAGCATTTATTGCGAAGGTGGCAAAGGCGTGGGGGTCGTTAACGCGGCTGCGACGGGTGGCTTAAAACGCCTCGCGACCGACAGGAGGCCCGTTACATCACAGCCACGTTAACATTCCCCGGTCTTGGTGCACAAGCAAGCGTATGCAAACACAGCGGCGTAGCTATCGAGTGCGTAGGCGGTGCAACTTCACCCCGTCGTCCCACAGGATGGTGGGGGGCCCAAGAGCCGGGGTAAGAGGAGGGGGGGTGTAGATTGGATAGGACCCCCCCCCCCAACCCCTACCACATCTCCTACTCCACCCCACCATCCTCAATTAAAATTTCTCACATCAGTGCCCATGACAACCATGGCTACTCCCACTGTGCAAAGACGATCTTTGTATTTTCAAACTCCAACGCAAAAACATCTCAAAACTAATTTCATATATGTGCATATATATGAATGTGCGCAGAGGCCGATGGAAACCGGATTAAAAGAGCATATCAAATCGACGAGTCAAAACAACAACGCTTAGCAGAAGCTGCGCATACTTCTACAGAAGTGTCAATCCACTGCTGGATGATGACCTCTCCCACGCCTGCGCGAGACGTGGGGGGTGACAATTGAACACACTTCTATAGCAGCGCATCGAAGCAAGCTTCTGCGGAGTTTAGAAGCGCGGCAGGTGAGCTTCGATCGCTGCACTCCAACGAGCGAGCAAAGCTCCCAGGTACAACAGGGTGAGGCACAACGAAGCCCATCTAAAACGACTGAAAAAAATATTTTACGAGGCCCACTGAGCTATGTAGCTTTTTCTCAGAAGTGACCTGGCCACAAATGATGGTCCACGAAGTGGCTTATCAACACGGACATTTATAGCAGCCAAATACTTTAAAAACGCACGATGTTTTTAAATGTGGAAGGAAACACCCGAGGACCCGGAGAAAAATCCACGCTGCCACGGGGAGAGAGACACGCAAACTCCAAATATACAGGCGGCAGGGTCAGAATCGAACCCACGACCTCCTGCATACCAGGCGAGGGAGTTAACATCTCGCCACCGCGGGGCCCCGATCAACGCGGGAGCGGAGTGACTCGCATCGCTGCGACTACTGCGATGGTAAAATGACGCCCCGCAAGAGCGGCGAAGCGGCTCCACCTAAGGTCCACTCACATCCTCGGCCACTCTCAGTGAAGGTTTGCTGAGGAATTTAGGTGATGAGCGCTGCTGAAGGGTGGGGGTTGGGCGGAAATACGTGAAAATGTGACAAGTAAAAAAAAACATGACAAGAAGATTAAAGTCACGGGCGACGGGTATCTTCGAGAGGCTGTACGATGTTTCCAACTTGAGCTAGATAGGAAGTGATGCTTGTGACAATGTCTGTTTAAAGCAATGCATCTTGATATATATTTTTACTCGCCCTTTAGTCAATCCACGAGTGGATGAAGGACCAGCGAAGTCATCTCATCCGTGGCGATTTATTTGAGCTTACTTCACCATGTCGATGCATTTTGAGTCAATAAAATAATTAAAATAAATAAATTTAATGTAAAAAAATTATTCATTTTTCTGACAATTATTTCATCAACTGGCCATCTCGGATGGCATTCTGCAGTCTGCTATATCCAACACAGATGGGTTTTCGATATCATAACAACTCACCAGTGAGCCATGGCCAGCTACAGCCTGATGACTACCCCAAGTATTAGATTGGCACAGAGACCATGGCTTTGACCACAGAGCCTCAGAGTTTCAGCAGAGTATAGAGTGACTGTGAAAATCATATCAACGATGTGTCGGCAATAAACCTTGCAAACGCAATATATGGCCAAACATAAAAACATATATTCTCATTCATAATCAACACTGCCTGCTAAAAAAAATATCGTCTGAATAGTTTTAGGGACAAGGGCCAGCCATTTTCACAGCAAAAAAAAGAGAGTGAGCAACCAGAGTGACCGAAACACATCGATGGGGAGACCGCATTTTACTGCACGGCTGCAAGAAAACACCGCGGCGAGTTTGCACGCGATTGCGGTTTATCGCTCGTTGCTCAACTACTTCCCGACGACGGGCGGCGGCGGTTAAAAAGCGACGAAGAGGCACGGCTGGGCCTCACCTCTTTCTCCACCTCGGCGGGCAGCAACTTGACGAAGTTGTCGGGGAAGACGCCTCTCTTCCCGTTCACTTCCCCCTCCCACCAGCCCGCGTCCCCGCAGTCCTGAAAACCACCCCGTCCGGCCGTCGGCAGCGGCGGCGGAATCGCGCGCACACGCGCAAGTGAAACGCGACGAGTCAAAACAAACTCTCTATTTTGCTTCAACAGGGAGACAGATCGTGAATTGAGCCAGCAAAGTATCTTGGCGATGGAGACCTTGGCGCAAAACATCGGGGCACAAAACGCAAAGCATTGCTACGTGTCCACAGGTAGCACAATTCATGTTATTCTGACAATGCAACCTTTTTTGTGCGAAATTATGATACAGCGACGCTCCGACAAATCAACATCTAGTTTGCACGAGGACCCCTGCGTCGGCCCCAATGTGGATGAAGCAATCAGAGGTAGGCAGAATATTTATTCATACAGGAGAAATCCAAATAACTATAATGCTCTTTTCCCAGATGTCCATTAGGGGCGGGTCAGAAAGTCAAAACAACAAACCATAGAAAAACACGACACGAGTGCAAAGTATAGTGAACGCAAACAAATCACTTAAAAACAAATAAAACTAAACAATTTTTGTATCTTACCAGGTAAAGCCCACTGAGCTATTAGCTTCTTAGGTAAGCATGAAAATACAGGGGGTCATCAACGTATTTAGAGCTCAAAAGCATGGCATGGCCAGTGGAACTCACAACTCCTGGGACACATTCCGTAAGGGAGAGGTGAGGGTGATGCGCGCCTCTCACCTTGGCGATGATCTCGACCAGCTCGCCCTCCTTGAGCGAGAGCTCGTCATTGTTCTGCGCTTCGTACGAGAACAGCGCTTTGCAGTATTCCCGAGCTGTGGTGGGGGGGGGGGGGGTTGGGTGGGGGGGGAGGTCACATGGGCTCCTGGTGAAAGTGTGGCCCACTCTCATACAACAACAGAGACAAAAATCCCCAGCACAGTCTCAACGGAATTTTGGGGCAAGTGCTTGTTAGCGAGCACCTACGAAGGCTGGCACGGCACACGAGGGATGGGTAGCCAAAACCACAAATTTCATAAGTACATCTACCCGCGTCTCTCGACTCGTTCATCGCGAGTGACGTCGGGGGCACGGCACGGCATGGTCTCGCACAGTGGATTAACACCTCCGGTTTAGCCCCATGATTTGTGTGTCCCGTGGTATGTGTGTCGGGATGAGACTGCTGTTGTGCGAGGAGGAGGTTCTTGCCTTTGTGCCGGGCCTCAGGCTCGGGCTTGGAGGCGGGGTCCACGTTGGGCACCGGTGCTTGCTTCTTCTTCGTCAGGGAAGAGTGGCTTCCGGGGAAATTGGACTGTGACGAGGAACAGATGGACGAGGCAACACACGCACACATAAGCGTACACAAATACAAGGTTCCCCCGAGAGCATTATAGGCTGTTGGGGCAAATGCTAAGCAAGTGTTTATTGAGGGCGGGTGGAAAGGCACATGGTGGGCTGGTGTGGTCAGCACCATGTCCAGCCGCCTTTGTCGCCCCAGTGCCGATCTCCTCACAGACTGTGGCAGGTACGAGTTTAACACCGAGTCAGCCCAAGGGAGGCTTCGGACCAGTTCAGATACCAATCAACACCGATGTGAGCCATGGCCAGGAAGTTCACTCAAGATCACCAGGTTTCGTAGAGCGTTGTGCTAACCGCTGTGTCACCGCTCCCCAAAACAAATACATGCCCACAAATACACACAAGAGCGTGGAATGGTGAATACGATTATTACGCGAGGATACACTAACCCAGTGTTCTTCATTGCATGGCCCATGGGCCAGTGGCGGCCCCTGGTCGCCTTGCGTGCGGTCCCCTGGCGTGCAACCCCAGAAAATATACAACATGTGAAAACACCCCATAGCAGGCGGTGTGGCGGCCCTCGTACTGCTGATGCCTTATCGGCAAATGTGCCCCCCGCCCCCATCTGAAAATGAGTGATGCACACTGAACAACGGTTCTGTAAACAGGGTCGTTTTGTTGCATTTTAACAAAAAGATGTTCATTGAAATCAGAATATTTATTTATACTGGAGGAATCCGATGAGCTATAAAGTTATTGTCACAGATGTCCTGTGGAAATCAGCTCGCCGTGCCATGGGCTCCCCGGCTACGAGTCCGGCTGGCCAGGGTTATCGTTACGATTCACGTCCACGCGTGGGGATTGCACAAGGTGCTCACCCTGTCGGCCACCTTGCTGCAGTCTCCGCCGTCGGCGCTGTCCTCGGCGGCGCGGGGACGCAGCTTCACGTTGCCCTCCTTGAAGATGTCCCCGAAGCCGAAGCCGCGGATCTTCTTCGGCTGGATCTCGCCGGCGCCGCCACCCTCCACTCCACCACCGCCGTCCCTCTGGCCGGAGTCTGGTATGGGGGGGGGGGGGTGTGACGGCACCATTGTCGCACCGGGACCCAACGGAACGGGGGCAAGCCGGGCGGTGGCGGTGGTGGCTATGCACGTGGCCTGTAATCCGGCAACACTACGGAGGCAGCGAGGGCTGGTCGGAGCACCGCAAAAAATTTCGTGAAACTCTCTTCGCATGGGCGTGTTGCGGAGGTGCCGCACTCTGGCTTGCCAGGAGCAACTGTGAGATACAATTATTATGAGGGACAACATTGTGTGTACTGTGTGTTCGTGTACTGTGTGTGTACTGCGTGTGTACTGCGTGTGTACTGTGTGTTCGTGTACTGTGTGTGTACTGCGTGTGTACTGTGTGTTCGTGCACTGTGTGTGTACTGCGTGTGTACTGTGTGTTCGTGTACTGCGTGTGTACTGCGTGTGTACTGTGTGTTCGTGTACTGTGTGTGTACTGCGTGTGTACTGTGTGTTCGTGCACTGTGTGTTCGTGCACTGTGTGTGTACTGTGTGTGTACTGTGTGTTCGTGTACTGTGTGTGTACTGCGTGTGTACTGTGTGTTCGTGTACTGCGTGTGAACTGCGTGTGTACTGTGTGTACAGCGTGTTCGTGTACTGCGTGTGAACTGCGTGTGTACTGTGTGTTCGTGTACTGAGTGTGAACTGCGTGTGTACTGTGTGTGTACTGTGTGTTCGTGTACTGTGTGTGCACTGCGTGTGCACTGTGTGTTCGTGTACTGCGTGTGAACTGTGTGTGTACTGTGTGTTCGTGTACTGCGTGTGAACTGTGTGTGTACTGTGTGTTCGTGTACTGCGTGTGAACTGTGTGTGTACTGTGTGTTCGTGTACTGCGTGTGTACTGTGTGTGTACTGTGTGTGTACTGCGTGTGAACTGCGTGTGTACTGTGTGTTCGTGTACTGTGTGTGTACTGCGTGTGCACTGTGTGTGTACTGTGTGTTCGTGTACTGTGTGTTCGTGTACTGTGTGTGTACTGCGTGTGTACTGTGTGTGTACTGTGTGTTCGTGTACTGTGTGTGTACTGCGTGTGCACTGTGTGTGTACTGTGTGTTCGTGTACTGTGTGTTCGTGTACTGTGTGTGTACTGCGTGTGTACTGTGTGTGTATTGTGTGTTCGTGTACTGTGTGTGTACTGCGTGTGTACTGTGTGTTCGTGTACTGTGTGTGTACTGCGTATTCGTGCACTGTGTGTGTACTGCGTGTGTACTGCGTGTGTACTGTGTGTGTACTGCGTGTGTACTGTGTGTTCGTGTACTGCGTGTGAACTGTGTGTGTACTGTGTGTTCGTGTACTGCGTGTGAACTGTGTGTGTACTGTGTGTTCGTGTACTGCGTGTGAACTGTGTGTGTACTGTGTGTTCGTGTACTGCGTGTGTACTGTGTGTGTACTGTGTGTGTACTGCGTGTGAACTGCGTGTGTACTGTGTGTTCGTGTACTGTGTGTGTACTGCGTGTGCACTGTGTGTGTACTGTGTGTTCGTGTACTGTGTGTTCGTGTACTGTGTGTGTACTGCGTGTGTACTGTGTGTGTACTGTGTGTTCGTGTACTGTGTGTGTACTGCGTGTGCACTGTGTGTGTACTGTGTGTTCGTGTACTGTGTGTTCGTGTACTGTGTGTGTACTGCGTGTGTACTGTGTGTGTATTGTGTGTTCGTGTACTGTGTGTGTACTGCGTGTGTACTGTGTGTTCGTGTACTGTGTGTGTACTGCGTATTCGTGCACTGTGTGTGTACTGCGTGTGTACTGCGTGTGTACTGTGTGTGTACTGCGTGTGTACTGTGTGTTCGTGTACTGTGTGTGTACTGCGTGTGTACTGTGTGTGTACTGCGTGTGTACTGTGTGTACTGTGTGTTCGTGTGTACTGTGTGTGTACTGCGTGTGTACTGTGTGTGCTATTCGGCAGACAGCCGTCTCCTCGCACGGTTTCCCCCTTGCGCGCCCATTTTTTTGTAACGCATCTACTACGACTGTTGCGGCGCAGAGGGAGGCGAAACACATCGTACACATCGCAAGTATGAAGCTCAAACGTCACCGCCAAATCCTTCCATCCCTCCATCCCCACGCCGTAGCGGTTCCCCCGCGTGCAACGCAGAGCAGCCGTGCGGCCGTGCCGCGGCGTCGCGCGTAGACGGAGGCCCACGAGGGCACGCCGGCCGCTCGCTCGGCCTACCGGTGGAGTCGGAGGTCTCGGCGGGCGGTGGCGACTCTCCGTTCTCCTGCTCGGCGCTCTCCTCCGTCACCTCCTTCACGAAGTTGGAGGGGAAGACGCCGGTGCGTCCGTTGTGAGAGCCCTCCCACCAGCCCTCCTCCACCTGGCAAGGAGTAGACGCAAAGGCACGGAGATTCCGCCACCCCCAGACAGACTCTTGTCGATATATGCTGCAGAGCGAGCAGCTGATGTTTGCATGCAGAACCTCTTTAGCACCGTACGTAGCCAACCGTGCAAAACGGAGGCGATGAAGGCCGGCACGGCGCACAAGTGTTGGGGGAGGAGGTGGTGTTGTGGCCCGGCAGCTTCATCTCCCCAGTGTCACGTTTACACGCACTCCCCCAGGCAATAATTTAAGGCCGAGCAAAGATAAGGGAAGCCCAGGACCGGTTCGGATGTTCGTCACTGAAGTTGTCCGTGAGAAGGAATCGAAACGAGGTTTCCAGGCTCGTAGCGCAAAGCGATAAACACGACATTACCGCTGTGTTGGCAGGAATGCTGAACTACCCATAGACATAACCAACGGTGGGTTCTGAACCTACTTGCTGCACTGCTATCCCCAGGGTACCTCGCGGTCCCAGCAGTTTTGAGAGTCGTGCACGTCTACCTTGATCCACCAACCCTTGCCTGCAAAGTGTCAGATTGCAGGTGTGCGCCACACAACAATCGCTTCATAGGCAGACACCTACATTAGCAGCCTGTCCATCACGGCACAAAAATTCTCAGCCGCACATATTGATTTTGACGAAAAATGTAATATAAATCTGCTTTGTAACTACTCCACAGGTGCAACGTCACGACAGAGCACGTTCCCTTCCAAAGATTGGCAAGACGGCATCCACTCGTCGCAACTGACGAGGACGTGCCCCAGAGAAGCCAGCGGCAGTGCCAGAGGCGGGGGACCCAGAGAGGCCAGCGGCAGTGCCAGGGGCGGGGGACCAACCTCCTTGATGATGTCCACCACGTCGCCCACAGCCAGGTCCAGCTCATCGTCGTTCTGCGCCACGTAGCTGAAGGCCACCTGGCAGCGCCGCTTGCGCACCTTCTCGCTCAAGCCTGCCATGCGCACCAACAGCACCCCGCCGTTAGAGGACTCGGGTACGCGCGTCAACGCGGTGGTGATGGCCACCCACCAGGTAAACGAGTACCCGGTGCGGTGTGTAAACATCGCCACTGGGGAGACAACGGTGGTTGGGCGTGGCGCTGGCCAAAGACACCCCCACCCCCCCCCCCCGTCTGCCGTGCCGGCCTTCATAGGTGCTCGCTAACAACACTTGCCTCAACAGTCTGTTAAACAGACTTTTGGGGCAAGTGTTGAAGGTCGGCACGGCACACGGGGGGGGGGGGGGTCGTTGGCCAGTGACACGCCCGACCACCGTTGTCTCCCCAGTGGCGATGTTAATACACCGCACCAGCAACTCATTTGAGGCCGAGTCGACCTAGGGGATGGCCAGGAACGGTTTAGATAATCGTCACTAGTGCTGGTGGTGAGCGGGAATCGAACTCAGGTTGCCATGTTTGTAGCGCGGCGCGCTAACCACTGGCATTACCGTTCCACTACCGCTCATGTAAACACGCACACAACACGTAACAGAATACATGAATGGTTTCACACACCAAACATCACAATGAAGATGCGCCACATTAGGTGCGGCTGACCCATGCGTGTTCATACAATTTAGAAAGTTTCAGTAATCTCCAGATGAATCGCCTGACACACATATACACACACACACAGGTGTCACACTCCCATGTGTTAAAAGATGCCGTATATTTACAGACAGGGGCAGACCCAAGACAAACGCTCGCCTCACAATTGCTCCACGTATAGTGCAACACCAATCAATCATGTGCATACGTAAGCACATAACTTGATCGGTGGGAAAGCAACGCTATCGCAGCAAACGCGCGTGTTCCCGACCTTGTCGAGTGTGAAAGCAGGCACACACTTGACCTCGCGGCCGATGAGCATATTACCTCCTCTAATGATCCAGCCAGCCTTCCGCCATCTCTCGGCCAGAGCCGACTTGCGTTTAACCGGCGGTTTGTGCATGGCGACGATAACCCCGGCGCATCCCACAAGCGTTGCCGCTGCGACCGTCCCGACGGCCTGACCGCCGCGCGGAATCGCGGCCCCTCTCCTCTCTCGTCGCTCACCACCCGTCAACGCAGCGCCGGCGGGCCCACGCCTTAAAGACCGCGCAGGCGGCAACAAAAACATTTAATTCCCACCAAATCCTACGGACGCGGCAAGGTGCGAATTGCGAGATGACCAAATCCGCCGCACGAAACCGCAACGGTATACGCCGTTGCCCTGCGATGGTCTCCCTTATCTGCCGTCACCTTCGCACCGTAACGAGCACACCTGGGCCTGAGCACTGTTCGGCGTTTGAGAGGAAAGGGCCGTTGCCCGAGTTGTAAAGTCAAAAGGGCGTGACGTCGGAGAGGATTGCCTCGCGCCATCGCGAGGGCCGCCCGATCGAGGGAGCTCGTTCTCCGGCGCGCTCTGCGAGGGAGTGAGAGCGGCGCAGGTTTTAACTGCTCGGGAATTGGCCGAGAGCACCTTGCTACACAGAGGACTCCAGAGCTTGAGAAATTGTTGGCGCCGGCTCATCGCGTGGCCACCTTCCCCTGCTCGTCTGCGATTCCTCCTCGCGCCTCTCCGAGTTGTCCTCTCTCTCTCTCTCTATGATAGTGAGCGAATACCGTGCGTGTTGCAGGCCGAAATAACTATTATTACTTATAGTCAAGCTTACACAGCACAAACCGCACTTGTACAGCGCATCCATATCGGAGGGGTGTAAACACAAACGGCGTCGTAAACAGGCCGGGTGCGAATGGGTGTAACCATTGCTGAGCTACACAAAGACAAAGTTCCCCCCCGCCCGTATAGCCTCATCAGACTTTTGGGGCAAATGCTGTTCGTGAGCACCTCTGAAGGCCGGCACTGCACGCGAGGGGGTTGGGGGGGTGAGTGCCACGCCCAACAGCCTTTTGTCTCCCGAGTGGCGATGCTTACACACCGTACCAGGTACTGATATGGGGCCGAGTCCACCTAGTGGAGGCCCAGGACCAGTCACTGGTGTTGGCCGTGAGTGGGAATCAAACTCGGGTGGCCGAGTTCGTAGCGCAGCGTGCTAACAAAGACACATATAGCATGCACACACACACACACACGCAATCGACAAACTGACCCACATTCACACAGATAAATACCACACACACACACACAATAAATGTATTCCTTCACATACAGATCCACCCTCGTGCACACACGCCCATGTGACTGTTAAAAGGTGCCACGAGGTGGTGGGTGAAGCCAGCACAGGGCACTGTGTCGTTGTTTCCACTGCACTGCTGAGCCAGGCGAGTAAACAGCTGGCGAGTGCGGCCACTTAGGTGAGACGCCAACGCAACCGAAGCCGTGACGCGGCCAGCGATGACGACGACGTGGGGAACAGTTACCAACACCGGGAGGATGAACGGAAACTGGCACACACTTGCACACATGTCTACGTTGAACTTATTTCGCGCCGTACGCAGCCAACCATGCCAGTCGGAGGTGCGGGGGAAGGACAACAAACTAGAACACAAATATAAAAGAAGCGTCTTATCTAACCCAATGCCTTCACGACAAAGGAAAACCACCGACTGGGCCGGTTTAACGGAGCGACGTGTGGAGCGCCCCTTGGTTTGTCAACCGCACTTAAACGTTCATGATGAACACACACCCCGACGATGGCAGCCACCTCCGTTTAGCACGTGTCGGCAACGTGGTGGTGCGAAAGAAGTTCAACATACATACAGACATAACCTCCACCACCACTGTGCGCACTCACTCGTCGGGAAAAACGAGTGATTTGCACCCCCTGATTCAACATACATACGTACATACAGGACCAGCTCTAACCGTTAACAACACTGGACGGTGCCTAGCCGTTGTGCTGTCACACAGGCTGCACCGCTCTCTGCTTCTCCGCTGCACCCCTGCGGCTGGGAACAGTGGAGAGGGATGGGGTCGTTGTGGTTCAAATTAAAGATGGGCTTTCCAACTAGATGACTCTCAGTGTGGACATAAAGGAGCAATGAAAAAACATTTTTTTGGTAGAAAAGAATCAATTAAATAAGAGTGTGTTTCACAACAGAGAAATACAATTACATTTTAATCCATCAGCCTCGGAGAATTCTGGACGAACATTTTCCGACAGAATTTATTTAAGCAGACAAATGCTGGACTGGCTTTCACTAGCATAAGCAGGGCGCGTTCGGTCGGAGAATGTGGTTCCCTGCGGCCGTCTGATTTGCACTTTCACGGAAGGGGGCAGACATTTCGCCCGGCCCGTATTTGAACGAAAACGCAATTTGGCCGTGTCGCCACCGACGCACGGGAAGATTCCGCAAAACTCCCGTCGTCTTTCACGTCGTTCCGCGTGCACACACGAGCGGAATCGTCCGACAGGGTCGAGTAACAAACCTGAGCTGGAGAAGAAAGAGAGACCTCGGAGCCTGAAAGCTGTCGAGGGGGGGGGGGGGGAAGGGGCGGAAGGACAGCGGCACATAGGAAAGCGGCACGCAAGGAAGGGGGTGGCAGACCCGTTTGAGAGAACAGAACACGGGGGAAAAGAGAAACAGCCATAGCCACCACAGGGACAGACAGACAAGAGGCATTAACCCATCGCACACGAGCAGAGTGCGTGTGGACCACAACATCAGCTCAGCGGACGGCAGCTTCGAGCCGTCTGGCCGGGCAACATTTTCAAAGAGATCACAAGCAACGAGCAGCACACCTCTTTCAGATTTCCTGAATGCAGTTTCTTATTATCAGCAACGTGCTTCATTGCTGCAAAGCTGTGGTGGACTTGAAAAGATTGCTTCAAACGTGTGCGCGTGTGCAATCTCTCCGTCGCTATTTTAAATCAATGGAAAGTAATTCATTAGCGGCACTTTAATTGATTTAATTGCGTGAAGCTCATGTCAAAGTCACAGCGCAAACCCGTAACGTTCGATAACGTGTCCCACAAAACGGCGACGTGCGTTGAACGAAAACACTGGTGCATCAGTCCGCCGAACATAGATTAATGGCAAATCCATTATAACTGTAGTTACAATATTACACTAGGCAAGGGAATTATATTTTTTTTACAAAGAAGACAATGCTAATGAGTACACGTACAATTCAATGGTTCAAATGAAGGACCAGCATTAGATTTCACAGAATTCCGTATCCTAGCGTGCGCACACACTCACCTTATTGAATAGCACACGGCACTGTAAAGGATTGCGCAATGTAACTTTTTTTTAAACATGTGTGTGCTGCTTAGCCTTTGTTGAGTAGGGGTGGGGGAGGGGATAGAGTTTCTAGGTTTGTTTGCAGAGTACGTACCCTTTTTTCGAGAGCCTGTTAACTCCCCCGGAGGCAAAAGAAGAAAGGGGGGGGGGAGGAAACATTTAAAGAATACTGAAGGAGAGACAGGGAGACACAAGGAGCGAAGAGGAATGGGTGTCATTCAGACTCCAGCTCAGGCGCCCGGGGGCCACAGATCCGGTGCAGCCAAGGCAAGAAGTTAAATCTGACTTCTAAAGATTTGGGTTATTCTGCCTTCCTGGAACTCGTCCTGACGATGCCCGATGTCATCTCATGCGGGAGAACGTCGCAGCTCGCCGTGAACGGTTCCCGAACGGTTCCCGTTCGGGAACCGTTCGGTTCCCGTTCGGTTCCCGTTCGCGGTGAGAACCGCTCGGCGGACAACCGCCACAACCGCCACGACGAGAATCGGCGCGTCAAAACGCTTCTGTACGCCACGCGGCAACGAAATGCGCTCGCCCGCGTCGGGTGGTGGAGGCTCTTGACGACACAAATTTGGCCAGAATCATTACGTTGGCCCTCACCCGTCTCGCAATTTTGTAAATTTCCACATCCGTAGAATGTGGCGGGAATTTTATGGTTTTGCCGCCGGCACGTTTATCCGGGACAGACGATAAGAGGTTGTGTGTTCTTTGTCACATTTCCCCATTGGTGTTTATAATGTGAGGGGATAGGGGGGTGGCGGTCGTCATAACTGTTTGTAAAATTATTTGGCCCCCATCCCAATTTGGCCAATCTAAAGCGAACAAATAACTTTAAATAAAACACTGACCGCTTTGAAAAATATTTTTCAGCGACTGAAAGCAAAAAAAAAGAGACATCACCCAAACGCAAAAGCATTCGTTAGTTTCCCGAAATAAACGACGGCAGTCTGAACTCGTGATCACCGTCAGCCACTTGCACGAACCGTGGCGCAAAGTCGAGCCCAAACTGCCGGCTCTGCCAAACAAAAGCACGAGGGCTGAGAAACAACAAGGCAAGGAACTCGACGGAGCAAGACGAACAAGCGACGGAAAGCCATTACTGCCACCAACGATGGATTATGGAGGAGCTCGATGACCGATGGATGATGAGAGAAGACGACAATGGCCGATGACGGGAGACGCTCGCTGGCGACGCGAGGCACATTTTAATAAAACTAAAAACTATTAATAATAATAAATATATTTGTAACGCGCTCAGGGCTGCTCGAAAGCCTGACCAAACAGATAAGAGGCCTTTAGATGTTTCTTAAAAGTCAAGAGTGCATTTGATGTTGCGGATGTGCAAAGGGACAGTTCCATGCCGAGGGGTCGCCAGCAAATAACTGATGTGAGAATAACAGTTCGAGACTTTTTCTGTCCGAAGCAGATTTTGAGTGACGCTGCTGCGTAAGGGTTCTACCGTGAGCCTTCAGTGCAGGGCAAGAGTAGTGAGGCGGGGAATGGCGGGGGAACCGGTGGTGAAGGTGCCATCGGTTCGCCACCATACCAGGTAAGGCCCACTGAGCTACATAGCTCTTTTTTTCAGAAGCAACCTGGCCACAAATGATAGCTCAAAGGAAGTGGGCTTAGCATCAAGTGGAAATTTAAAGCAGCCAATTACTCTCGTGATGCTGATTCTAAATGTGAAGAGGGAAAAACCGGAGGACCCGGAAAGAGACACGCAAACTCCAAATATACAGGCATTGTCAGGGTGGGGATCGAACTCCCGACCTCTTGCATACCAGGCAAAAGGTCAGAGGCCACGAAGCCATCTTGACGTGCACAAGCACAGGTCACAACCCTTTTGTCAGTGCACTGCCAGAAGAGAGGCCACTCCCCACACCGCCGTAGGGGTCGTTATTTGACCAAACACGTTACAGCGCTCGTCAGTACGGGGAATCCACGGGACACCACTTCACTACTACCCACAACGTAGCGCAGCGCCCGCAGCCCTTCGGCGGTGCAGTTGCCCCATCGAGGCTCAATTATGCTTGGCTTAAAAAAAAAGTTATTTATAATTCCCGCTCCCCCCCCCCCGATGTTTATGCTTATCCTCGCATGAAAAAGCAGCCCACAGCAGCGGATACCGCAGAGATCCGGAGATATCCTCTCAAGTGACCTCTGGTCCACACGGCAGTGGGGACGCACTTTGCCACCCGGTGAGCTAAAATATATAATGCGAGTGATGTTTGTCACGTGATAGTGGAAACGATATTCAATGTTTCGAGTTGTAATTAAGACAAATGAAGAGGGCCTTACCCGGTAAAATAAAACACCGTATTGTTTTTTTAGTTTACAGGAGAACCTCGCGCTTCCCTCCCCAAGCCTCCGGAGGTCATCTCGTGCGGCGGCGTCTCGCAGTGGCCACGTGATGGGGAGGACTTTCTCGAGCGTAAACAAAAGCGACGGGCGCTGGAGACGCCGTCGCCGCCACAGACAGGTCCCCGCAAGCTCGGTGGCGGAACGAGCGCGGGCTCGCGTGCCTTCTGCTCGCCCCCGAGCGTTCAAATTCCTCTCCGCGTTCATCTTCTCCCCGACGTGGTGTGTCCCCCCCCCCCCCAACTTGGCTGGGACAGCGGGGAACAGCGGGCCCCCCCCCCTCTCCTCTTACCCCCATCTTTAACCTCCCCTTCCTCCTTTGTATGGTTCTGGGACTGTCCTCCGCGAATCGTGACACCCGGGTTATTCGAACCGTGCGGCGTGCTGTGCCGGGCTCGCGTTATGTTTCAATAAAAGCGAAAGAAAACAAGAAAAGAATCCCCCTCCTTGGCGGCTGACGGCCACGCGTCGTGGGCGGGTTCTCGTCGAAGGGTGCCAGGAGAACTCCGCTCCTCCACTTACATATGGGAAAGTCACTTAGGCATTTAACAACAACAACCGCCATTCGCCACTAAGTGTCGGTGACGTCACCACGGCGCTTGTGCCAGGCCATGTGCACGTTGAGGCCACGTGAAGTGTCGAACGCCCGTTGGGAGGTGGTCACGGGGCAGACCCAGGTGCCGTGGGTCGACTGACTGAGATGACTGAGATGACTGGCTGATGCACCTGTGCCCCCCTACTGTGCCAACTTGCTGTGTTTTAACCGCCCGGCGCTCTCCGCTTGTTGTTGTTGTGAGCATCGCTCCTCCGCCCTCCGTTGTTGTTAGAGGGCGACTGCCTTCAACTGCCCAGCAGCGTCCTTCACGAGCCTCCTCCGCAGAGACCGATCTTCACACCGCTGGTACCGGTCATCGGCAAGTCCACTCAGCTCCACGTCCTCCTGTACCACATCACTCCATCTCTTCTCTAGCCCGTGCCGTGCCCGTTTAGCCCCCTCTTATCCGACCGAACAATAGCTGTTAAGGCATGCGGTGGCTGCATATATACACACACACCGCAGTTAACTCTTGATTCGTCATCAGCCAGGGTCGATCCGCCGCTGTATGAAGGATCCCCCCCCCCCACCAGACCTTCACCGGATCTTTCACGATTCTGCAATGTCGTGAACGCAATAACCCTCCATAATAGAGGTTTTCTGGGTTAGATCGCGTAAATATATAAATGTTGTGTCGTTAAAACCCGCCACCACCCAACACAGCCAACTAGTAAGGGTTGTCACGTAAACATAACGTGGCCAATTCGTCACTAGTACAGCACACCGGTGTTTTGGAGAGCCAAGCCACAACATTTACAATCTGAGTACGACGTTTCGCCAGTAATTACAACTAGCTCCATCAGGCGACAGCCAGATTTGTGTAGAAGTCGAACTGTTCCGTTCCTTATATAGAGGCGTAGATGTGGTGACCACGCTTCTGCGCTCTTGTGTAAAGTGGGGGGGGGGGGGGATTAATGAGTCAACGTACATTATGCATGCGCATTATGCGAGCCCTTTCAGCAATAACCCTCCCGGAACCTGCAGGAGCCGATATGATCGCTCCATCCCCGCGGCGGGCGTACTCCCCCTCTCTGGGAACGCTTTCCACCCCTTGGCTGCCGCTGCCCCCCGCCGTTATTCTCGGCAGTCCGGGGAAAATCGGTCGGAGAGATCGGGGGGGGGGGGGGGGCAAGCCAAGTGGAAACAAAAAATACCGATGATGAGAAACGTAAGGAAATTAGGCTACACAAACCTACGTAGAATGGGGGGGGGGGGGGGGTGGAGATGTAAAAACGCATCGCTTGTTTGTATTGTCTCGTAAAGTTGAACTCGCCGCCTACCCGCCTGCGGTTGAGCGAGGAGCGAGGAACGGCTCGCAACTCAAAGCCGACGTCCACTTTTAAAAGGGTGCCAACGGGCGCGGCTAATAGCGCGGACCTGGGCAATCCGTCACCAGATGAAAACGAGAGAGGTGGCTGGCTGCGTTAGGGTTTCACGTTGAACGTAATGCAGTTGTTGATGTTTTCTATACAGGCTGGCCGCCAGGTGGCGCTACAGGCTTGCCAAGTCGTCCGCTCGCTGCTGTTGTACGATTGACACAGCGTGTGGCAGGTAACAGCTGCTGCTGCTGCACACTTTGCTGGTCTTTACTCTTTGGTTCTATTCGGTAAAGCCACGTAGGTAAAAAAAAATAAAACAAAAAACACGACGTTTCGGCCACAACACAAGCGGCCTTCATCAGGTGAAGGGACCAGACTGTCTCGAAGACTGCCTTTGGAGTGAAACAGAGCCATGCTCAGACCACGGCCTTTAAGCTGTGTGAGAGGGAGTATGGGAGTATGGATCCTTGCAGTCACGAAAGCTTCAAATCTAGAATTTGCTGGTCTTGTTTTTAATTAACACGTGTTTCGACACTCCACGTAGCCTTAACGTGCACATAGCCTGGCACAAGCGCCTTGGTGACGTCACCACCACTTAGTCGCAAATGGAGGTTGTTGTTTTCATGCAGCTATATGGATGGAGGAAGCACATTCGCGGAAGGGATGATCGAGGGCGAGGTAGAGCAATGAGGTCGGCGCACGTGTGCCGGTAAATAAATCACATCCGAAGAGAGAGCAGCAGCAGCTACTGCTGCAGAGCTAACGCGACAGAGATGGGCTTCACGCTGAAGTGGACTGAGAGAACGCTTGCCGATGAACTACCCTGGGCACACAGAG